TCATCGCGTTCGTGATGGGGGAGTCGCGTTCGCGTAAGAGGACGTTCCTGTGCATCGCGTTCGCGTTTGGAATATCGCGTTCGCGTAGGAGGTTAAGCTGGACCATCGCGTTCGTGTGAGGGTCGACGCGTTCGCGTAGGGTATCATTTGGTCAAAGGAAAATTTGCCTTCGCGAACGCGGGGTGTTGACCGCGTTCGCGTAGAAGGAAAGCTGGGCGACAGAAGGGTTTAATTATGATATTTCATCCGCGACTCATTCATTGTTTCCTCCATTTTTGAACCACCTCAAGAGCTTTTTGGTGGAAATTGAAGAGAGTTTTGACGGGAATTGATTGGAGGTAAGTCTCGTGACCTAGAAACGCTATTTTATTGAAGAATCAACCTTTAATTCTTGGAAAATTGGGTATAAATTTGAAGAACTAGGGCTTGGGTTTTGAAATGAAAATTTGGGATTTGAAGGGGCATTTGAACTCCGATTTTGGTAAATTTTATATGTACGGACTCGTGGCGAGACGAGGAGTCCGGTAATGTGAATTTCATAATTTTTCGAGAAGTGGGCCCAGGGCTCGGGTTTTGCCAACTTCGTGAATTTTGGTGTTTTTCGAGTCTTTTCGATTGGGTTATGTTTCTTTAGCCTATTGTAATGTATTCGTTGTGGCTTTAATCAGATTCGGCGTGCGAAGAGGTTGATTCAAAAGACAAAGGCATAGCGAGCTAGACTTGTGGCCGGCTTGAGGTGAGTAATAGATGTAGATGATGACCTGAGGGTTTGAAACCCCGGTATATCACATTGTGACGCTATATTGAGGCGAGACACGTACTCTATGACGGGTGTGGGGTCGATTGTGACTGGGGATTGTGACCTAGTCCGTTCCGATTGATGTTCGTACTGTGTTCTTGACTAGAAATTGTTTGGTAATCATCCTACTTGGATTTTATGAATTTGTTTGGGGCTTTGTGCCTATCATTTGCATCCTTCAGGGATCCTTATCACTGCTTCCATGATGCTTAGCATATTTCATGATATCAGTCCTGAGTTAGACACTGCCTCGAAATGTTTAGTAAATAAATAAAGGTTTAAGCACTTAGCTCTATAATTCCTAATAATTGAAACTAAAAATGAACAATTTGACTGTGCCTGAGTGGCTTGCATGCATATATATATCTGGACTGAGTGTGGATCGGGCTGCACGCCGCAGCGAATGCTACGATGATATTGCGCTTGGGCTGTAGGAGCCCCTCCGGAGTCTAAACCCCCACAGTGAGCGCGGGTACCCAAATGGATCGGGCTGCGCGTCGCAGCGGTCATGTGCATTGCATTGCATTCATGCATTTATACCTATTTGTCTTATTTGTCCTGGTATTGTTGTTGTTCACCGTTTTATGTGCTGAATCGCTGATTATAGCTTTATATTGTAATATTTCGGGATTTCTTACTTTTAGCCATTATATATGTTTATTACTCACTGAGTTGGAAGTACTCACTTTACTCCCTGCACCATGTGTGCAGATTCAGGTGCTCCGGAGTCTTAGTGGACCTGTTTGCTGTCTTCTTGGATTTCGTTTTAGGAGTGGTTGAGGTAGCTGCCTGACGTCCGCAGGACCCGACTTCTCCCCTTTATTTCATTTGTCTTTCCCTATCCTAGACTTTCTTTATTACTATGAATATATTACTCTGTTACTTTTAGAGGCTCTAGACTCGTGACTCCAGATCTATTAGGGAATGTTTGGTATTTTTCGTACTATTTTATTTAGTTTCGGATTGGAACCTTAATATTTACTATTTTAATCGTATTATTTGTTAACTGATTGCGAATTTGGGTTGAGAGTATTTAATTGGTCGGGCTTGCCTAGTATTAATGTTGGGCGCCATCACGACCGGAATTGAGGTCGTGACATGTGTTTTGTGGAATTTGCTTGGTCTTGTACGTTATGACATTGCTTTGGGGCGTGAAAGGTCATTTTGAGAGAACTAGCTTATAGTTTACATGAATGTAAGATGAAGGCATGTAACATAAGTTCTTAAAATATAAAAACTAGCAAATGAATGTAAAGAAAAACATAAATGAGTTGAAAGAAATCAAATTAATGAGTTAGATAAGTCTTGTGTTGCATGGATGATGCCATTCTTTTAAATATAAAAATAGGGGTAGAACTACATAGGAGGGAGGGATTTCACTAGTATCTGCAGATCTGAATTGAAACAATGGATATTTGTGTGTATAACGAAGAAACGACATATTAATTACATTATTTGTTTTATTAGTCTTAATCTGACTAGATACGAAATTTAAGAATGTGAAAAGATTTTATGTCATTCCTACAAGAGAGTGTCGTAAAGAGTTAATTAGGAACGTTATAACTTGAAACTGACTAAATATAAAAGGGATTGTTTCTGAAACATACTATAAAAAAGAAAGAAGATAAATTAAATCAGAGAGACTATATATATAGTATTTGTTTAACCATTTGGTATCCGGAACTAACTGGCCAAACAAATCCAAATTCGCACCATGTAGAATTCATTAGGTCTGTTTAGAAAGCCATCGGTACTTGAAATTGGTATAATTATTAGGGTAATAATTACACAGTTTAGTAATTACACAACCTAGTAAGTACAACGACATATTTTTTTTTGTCATAACGTAATTACAATGTAATTACAAGCGTACTATTTTTTGCACAATTGTAATTACACAGTTAGATTAATTTTAAAATAAAGTAATTATCAAAACTTAAAAGTTAATATAATAAATATATGCCTATAGACAATTTTTTATAAGTATAAATGATATTAGATTTAGTATTTAAGATGCATATTTATTTTGAATATACACTTTTGTAATCATATATCTATAACTAGTATTGTAAAAATGATTGATATATATTTTGCAAATTAATAATATTTAATTTAATTTATAATAAAAACTAAAAACATACATTTTGTAAGAATGTCATGTAATGCATGTTTCATAAAAAACTAATATTTATAAATACAATGTCGTAACATTATGCAAATATTCGACAAAACTAATATATCAATTCTAACTAAAAATTAACATAATTTCGAACCCCCTCTCCACATTAAAATAAGTTTCAATACAACTTAAAACTAGGAACATAATAAGTTTATACCCTCATTCAATAACGAAATTACACTTTAACGATATCACTCATTATATACCAAGTTTGTTAATGACTCATTATTTCTAATATTAGGAGGTGTAGTTTCAAAAACTAGAATAGTAACGTAGTTATGCGGAAAAAAAAAATACGAGCAATTACATGGAATCACAAGAAGCAAATATAGAGAAGTAAAAGATAAATAATGTACAAAGAAAATATATTTTAAAATTTAAAAATTAAAATAAAAAGAAATTAAAACAATGGAAATAAAAATGTATAAAGAAAATAAATTAAAATAAAAACAAAAAAGAAAGAAATTAAAAAGTAACCTTGTAACTATACAGTGTAATTACCACCAATTCTCACTCCCCCTATTGAGAATTAAAGAGTGTAATTACACCTCTCATATCACACCAAAATTCCATGCTGACCAAGTAATTACTTGGCCATACAAAAATGCTAAACTGTGTAATTACACCAAATTATACGCAAATCCAACTTCTAGATAACTTTTCAAACAAGTTTTTAAGGGGTGTGAAGCACTTCCTACCAGAAAATTGTCCATTCCTCATGCTTGGACCTGAAATCTCTAGTTAAGGGTATAAGAATCTATCCCCACTATACCTCTTGGTAATTTTTTTGTATATGTAAATAAGATAGTAGCATAACCTAGAAATATGAGTCCTAATAATTAATACCTTTTCACAATTCCTATCAAATCTAACACTCAAATTTTATTAAATATTTAACGGAGATTAAAAGTGTTTAGTTTTGACAAATTTAAAGTACCAAACTCTTCATAAATATATTTAGGGGACTATTTTAGATCTACCCCACATATAAGGTCCCCTTTTGTCATTTGCTCTTTCACTACTAGTAATTTAAAATTCGGAAAATGGTTCAAAATGCCCCTAAACTATTGGAAAAGGTTTAAAAATCCCCTTCATCCATCTATTGGGCGAAAAATACCCTTCCATCCACTATTTTGGTTCACTTATGCCCTTTGACCGTTAGGTCAATGCTAAATTAAAAATAATAATTATTCTTTTTTGTAATGCTTAAAAAAGATATTTTGCAAACTATTTTCGTTTTTTAAAACTAATGCACCAATTGTCCATTAATTTAGTAAAGTCTTTCTTATTTTATTGAGTTTTTACAAAAAAAAATTCAGTTTTACAAAAAATAATATATTTTTCAGTTTTTTTTAAAGCATTTTTTTGATAAAAATGAAAAACAATTTGTAAAAATAGAAAAAAAATACTTTTAATAAAATATTTTCGTTTTATAAAAACTGAAAAAAGTATTTTCAACAAAATATTTTCGTTTTTGATTTTTTTTTTCATTTTTTCAATTTTTTTAAAACATTTCGTTTTTCAGTTTTTTTTTTAAAAAAATATTTTCGTTTTTTTAAAAAAACGGGAAAAAATGAAAAAAAAATCAAAAACAAAAATATTTTGTTGATCTTTTTTTTCAGTTTTAAAAAAACAAAAATATTTTATTAAAAACCTTTTTTTGCCGCTTTTACAATTTTTTTCTTCAGTTTTTGGAAAAAAATGAAAAAAAAATTATTTTCTTTGTAAAAACTGAATTGCTTTTTGTAAAAGCTGAAAAAAATAAAAGAAGAAGACTTTAATAAATTAGTGGACTACTAGTGCATTAGTTTAAAAAAACGAAAATATTTTGTAATTTTGTTTTTTAAGTTTTATAAAAAGAATAATAATTATTTTTAATTCAGCATTGATCTAACGGTCAAAGTGGATAAATGAACCAAAAAGGTGGATATAGGATATTTTTAGTCCAATAGGTGAATGAAGGCTATTTTTAAACCCTTTACGGTTTAGGGTATTTTGAACCTTTTCCGTTTAAATTTTATTTCTCCCAAAACCCCTCTCTCCTTGCTCCTTTCTTTCCCTAAACCCTTCACTCTCCCCGTCAAAAGAACAACTCAGCCAACTTAAAACACTTCCAAAATTCTGGCGGTAATAATATGTGTGTTGGAAGTAGTTGCTTCTAACAAATAAATTTCTAGCACCTGCTGCCTCTCCGCCGGACAGCCACCGCCTCTTTCGCCGTGCCGCCGTAAGTATTTAGTAGCCTAAATTTCTATTACAACATAAAGGAGGTTGTTTCAACCTAAATGAATTTGTATTAAGCAGAAACCAAATGACATTGTTTTGGAAAAAATTGAAAATAATTAGTGGAATTAGTGGAATTAGTACTCCTTTATAGTTTATATATTGACTCACTTGTTTAGAATCCCAACTTAGCAACTATATCTGTATATATTTTGTTATTTTTACAAGCTAGAATTTGCTTCAACAAAGTATAGATAGCCATATATTTTGCGTTTAACATGTAAAAAAATCGTTTTTGGTGAAAATCTTAATGCCTAAGAGATCTTCCAATGAAGACGATTCAGTTGAACCCTCTTCCTTGGCCAATCACTGCCTCTGACATTGATTCATCACTTTTAGAGAAAGGGCATTACTTCGTCAACCAATTGAATTACAATGGCGTACCAAGGGGGAAACTTGAAGTCCACTGCCATAAATGGAGTGAAGATGTACACTGTCGCCGGCCAACACCGTTCTGTGGCAACATGGCTTCCCCCTAAGAAGCTCAGGGCCCTTCGTAATGATCCAAGTACGCATTACCCTCCTGCTTTCACTTACTTTCTTTCCTTTTGGGATATTATTTGGTAAAATATAGCAGCATCATAGTGTCTGGAAAAAGGAAGTTTCAATATTTGAAGTATAAAAGAAGAAATTCTGGAATTGTACCAAGATTGTTTTTCAATTGGGTAGTAATCTATATGTCTGGTTTTTTTGGATACTTGGTCTTTATATCATAATGCTCATCTGTGATGATTGATTCATACTTTTTTACTTCTTTTTCTTTCGAACAATATGCAAAGGTTAGATTTACTTTGATATTAATATTTGGTAAAATCATGTTGTATCAAAACTTTTGAAAATAGAAAGTTTTCAATTGTTATAGTAAAAAAGAGTGTTCAATGGCGGACCAACACTATTTTGTTGATAACAATCTTTACAGAGTTTGGTATGGGTAAAACCCAATTTGCATAGCTTGTGTAATTCGGGCCGGCTATATGAATCCTCTCTATCATGTTGCTCTGTTTATACATATTTGATATGGTAGGATATTATGGTTATGTTATTAAAGATATTTTTCTCTATTTTGGCAGGTTATATGCAAAGAGTGGATCTGATTCAGGATTTGAGATTTGAAACTGCAACTACAAGAATTAAAGTGACTCCTGACGGGGAGTATCTCATTGCGTCAGGTGATTATCTGCAGTTCGAGATATCCTTTCTTTCTTTTTTGTTTCCTTAAAAATATTGTTCTTTTGTTAAATGATCTTTTTCTAGGTTATTGAGAAGTAACTACTTCTGAGTTACAGATTAAAGGCGTCACTGTGCCGTTTTACTGTTAAAACGTGATGTTCGTGCATATGTATCCCTCTGTGTTTTATATATATATATATATACACACACACACACACACACACACACACACACACATACACACACACACAGTTATTTCAATATAAACTCAATATTTGACTATTGTTTTTAGATTTAGAACAGGTTGGGTTATAAATATATTGGTTCATTTTATTAGTTGTTAAAATGAAGCATTGATATTCATCTTATTTCCTGTGTTGGTCTAGACTTATTCATGTTTAACCTGAACAATAATTATCTCATATAAAAAAATGTCCTACACAGGGAAGTAACCAATTACTGTTTTCTCACTGTTCTGTCCCTCTGTTCTTCTGATACATGTATTAGATGAGTACAACAGATTTAACTTATGTTACCTTCTCAAAATAAAAAAAGATGAGTACACAGCAACAACTATGCCTCGACACCAAGATAGGGTCAATTATATAAATCCTCACAGTTCATGTCGCTCCATTTAGGCCTGTGTCATTCAATAAGTAGGTTCTCCGACACCAGAAGTTCTCTACATTTTATGATGGCAATCAGATCTCTAAGTCTAACAAACTAAAAGACCCCTAGCGAACATGTGTTAGATGAGTACATTCTTTTTGCTGCTTGGTATTTCCTCTATTTTGTATCAGTTGTCAACATTGATTCTTCAGGTATTTACCCACCACAAGTTAAAGTTTATGAGCTGCGGGAGCTGTCATTGAAGTTCGAAAGGCATTTGGTGTCAGAGATCATTAACTTTCAGGTACTGACTGCTTTCCCTCTCTTTCTCTGTGAAGGCTGCACGTTTCACCCAAAATAACAAAGTAGATTCTTATTAGTATTGCTTCTTTTTATGACCAATGCTTATGCTCATTTTTTTTTTGCTAAAATTAATTGTGCTGCAATAGTAAATGTTTTTGCTTGTTCCCTGTTTGTTTTTTCTTTGTAGAGACCAGAAGCATGGAAACATGTTCTGTTGAATTTTTCTTCTCTAATTAATCTGGGAAATCTATACTGATGTATATTCCGTCTTTGATATCTTTTGTAGGTCTTGGGTGATGACTACTCAAAAATGGCATTTCTTTGTGCTGATCGGTCTGTCTGCCTCCATGCAAAATATGGAAGTCATTACAGTTTACGAATTCCAAGGTCGCACTTATTTTGTTTGTTTTATTCTTACGTGCATATCCATATGTTGTCTGCTAAGCTATACCGATGAAATGCAAATTTAGAAAACAATGCATGTTGAGTATTAAGAATGCCAACATAACTTTGAGCTGCGCGAAGGACTTCTAGCATGCTTACACTTGCATAATGGCAACAAATTGAGCCCAACCTGTCTCACTTGAAAGCTTAGATACCTCTGGACTGAATGAGAGAATAAATATAATCTATGTATGTATCTGAAATAATTTTACCAAAGAAAGAAAGGTCTTCAGTGTTGAATGCCATAAAAAATTGCAACTCTTCAGAAAAATTTAGTTAATCCTGAAACTCCTCATTTATACTGCTAGGTTTTGGAATAAAGTTCACTCCTGGTGGCGAGATATCAGAGTCTCAGAGAATTCTGTAGTGCATTCCTTCCCGTTCAATGTCTGATCCTGGTTACCATGACTTGCCTTCGAAGGGGCTTCCCTAGGCATTTCGTGGCCCTTTGCTTCTCTTTTTCTTGGTTCAATATTTCTTTAATATCTTCTGGCTTTTATCTGCACATTATTCGGCAGCAGTAAAGATTCAGTAAGCCAGTTCATAGTTTCATACTATTTGATAGTCACTATTTTTTTTGGAAAAGGTAACATTTAGCAGTATATTGATAAATTTTTAGCACAAAGCTTGTGCTGGAAGCCAAAAGGGTGTTTACAAAAACCAAAAAAGCTCAAAATGTCAATCCTCGCTCTTCTTACAAGGAATCTACGACTTTTAGAATTGATTCTAGATTACCAAAAGCAAAAGAGAAGAATACAATTCATCTTATAGCCTGTTTGGCCAAGCTTCTAAAACCAGCTTATTTTGAGAAGTGCTTTTTCTCAAAAGTGTTTTTCTCCAAAAGTAATGCAGTTTGGGTTTGGCTAATTAATTTGAAAAGTACTTCTGAGCAACAATTAGTGTTTGGCCAAGCTTTTAAAAAGTGCTTTTAAGTGTATTTTTCTCAAGAAAAGCGCTTTTGGGGAGAAGCTACTTTTTTCTGCTTCTCCAAAATTGCTTCTACTTTCTACTCAAAAGCACTTTTTTTCTTCCAATAGCATGGCCAAACACTTCAACTTTGAAAAGAAAGTGCTTTTGGCTTTGGAGAAGCTTGGCCAAACAAGCTATTAATCTACTAAATATGGCTGACTGTATCCTCAAAGCATCTTGAATTTTTCTCCTTCCAAACTGTCCGCCTCCGCCAAATAGTTGCAGGGACAAATTTCATCTGTCTTTGTTGGTAGCACTACAATTTTCCCCTTCATTCCAGCATGAAAAAAGTTCAGATGTTCTTCCTGACATTGTCCACCAAATACCCCTGAGGTTGATGAACAAATGCTTCTTGACCACAAAAGTAGCACCTTGAACAAATTGATATTTCCCCTTTTCTCAGTTTATCCCGTGGTAGAGCAGCTTCTCTAACTACTGGCAAGTAAAGCATGCCACTTTTTATGTCACTACTTGTTTCATGACCTATATTTAAGTATAGACTTCCATACAAACTAGTATCCTTATCTGAAATTCTATACGTTAATGTATTGGATATCCTTGGTCAAATCCCGAAGCCTATAAACTACCCCTTTTTTACAAACCCCTAAAGCCTACATAGGCAGAGAATGAATGCACATTACTCAGCCAACTCTTTGAGAGGTCACAAATTAGATAAGTTAATGCTTCAACATTTCCTTTCTTAGAGATCAGATGAAAATTTATTAGGCTTAGAATGAATTAAACTAGTCATTGTTAAAGCTGAATGTGAACGCCAAGGAGCTCGCATGTAGGTGCACTTATCAGTTTTGCCTGAAGAGGGAAGGACATTGTTTAGCTCGCATTTCCTTTCTTAGAGATCAGATGAAAATTATCAGGCTTTGAATGAATTAAACTAGTCATTGTTAAAGCCGAATGTGAACGCCAAGGAGCTCGCATTTAGGTGCACTTATCAGTTTTGCCTGAAGAGGAAAGGACGTTGTTTAGCTCCATGCATCCTGGGTATCTCCTGGAAGACCTGACATGCTTCAGTCAGCGAATCTCAAAATTCACAAAAGACAAATTTCTGGTTGGTTTACTCTAATTTATGTTCCATTATCTGGTCAACATCTTTCCTGCATTGTCATGATACTTTACTGCTGTAGCAACTCAGACATCTTAGCTGCATATTTTGCTGGCATGATATCTACATTTCATCTTGCTGGATTTCTTTGATTTTGCTCAACTATCTGTCACTTTCATCTTGGAGCTAATCCCCAATGCTTTTGCCTTCCTCTCTGCTGCTGAAATTTACTGTTACTTTTTTGTACGAACTGTATCATCTTTAAATGCCAGCTTAACATCACTTATATGTTCTCCTGTTTATTTAGGATGGGAAGGGATATTGTATATGATTGCTGGTCTTGTGATTTGCTTTGCGCTGCCTCATCACCAGATCTCTACAGAATAAATCTGGAGCAGGTTTTCCTCCTTAGTTTAAGTGTTTGACCCGTTCATGTGTTTGTCTAAGTTTTTTTTTTTTAAAAACAAAAAGTGGCAAATTTTGCAGCACAATTACATTTTTTTTTTCAAAATGCTTAACTGAACTTGTAATGTCACCTGTTTCTCTACAATAGTTAAGTAATATGTGCACCTATATTGAAGTTGACTACTGCTTTATGTCTGTCTGTAAATACAAGATTTTCTTCTCATTTCCAACTTCTCGCCATTGGTAGATGACATCATCTATGGTTGGGTTGTTTTCTTCTATATAATTGTCTCAGTAACTCAATTTTGTCTGAAGGCTCTTCTGGATGGTATTTTTTTTGAGAGTCGTTGTAAGGGTCTATCTTCCATTACAGCTTCTGATAGATCATAGGCTCAAGATGAAACTTCATTTTCATATACCAAATTTGATAGTTTTCACCAGTGAAGTTTTGTGGGAGATTCAAAGGGAGACTACTGCCTGCCATGTTTGAAAATAAGGATAAACATAGATATGAGCTAAAATAGATTTTACAAGTCACTCTTTTTTTAGTGAGCTCATAGATCCTATAAGACCTGTTGACGCTCTGATACCGCTGGTAAGGAGGTTAATATAATTATTGAAAATTTATCGGTTAAAATTTTATTAACCATGGGGCTCTAAATACAGTAAATAGCCACTTGAAAAACAAGAAAATCTGCAAAAGATCTGCAGAACAAATATTCAAAACCTAAAATATCTCAACAACCTAAAATATCTAACAAAAATTTGAATTTTAAAAAATAGAAGACTACTCCTACGACGAAACAACTAATTATTTTAGCAAACCAGTAGCAACAGATGCAATACTCAACAACACCGCTTGAATTATGAAAAAAATGTTTCCTCATTCGATTTCACTTTTTTGAATTTCTGTTGTGAATGCACCACATCCATTAATGCTTTTGCCAACATTCTGATGAACAAACACTACTTAGAAATATGTATCTGGAAAGGTCTTCTGCTAGCTATATACTTTCCATGTTATCTAGTGTTCAGGTGATTTGGATTGGGCTGTTATAGATCAATATATTGTTGACCGAAAAGTTACGATAGGCCCCCAAAAAAAAAAAGAAAAATAAGGGACAAAGGCTAAGCTGTTTCGGAGAAGCAACTTATAAGAAGGGAAGAGAAGAGAAGGGTAAGAAAAGAATAGTAAATGTGCTGTTAAAATTCACCTAGATTTCCATGGCATTGATCCCAAGGACAAATGGAGCTTTATAGTGTTAAATCATAATCTGCTGCATTTTCAAAGAAAAACGAAAGTTGTACAGCCTAAAAGTTGGATGTCGAATTTCACCCTATTCTAATTGAAGTTTTCCCCCTTATTGCGTTGATGTTTGCTTGTGTAGTTTACTGAGACTATCATATTCTATTAACAGGGACGCTTCCTTTCCTCACTGAGCACACGATCCCCGGCACTTAATGTGGTTTCGCGGAGGTTAGAAATTGATTTTGCTTTGCTGACCTTTTAAACCCATGTTTCTTTTTTTCTTTAAAATTTTCTTTTTGGCTCTTTTAGTTTTGCTATACCTTCTGTATGACAGTTTCTTCTGTGATCTTTTGGTTTCTTTTCTTCTGCACTTTAGCAAGCTCCATGGGTTAGTTGCTTGTGGAGGGGAGGATGGTGCTCTCGAATGCTTTGACATGAGAGCAAGATCTTCAGTTGGCAGAATAAATGCTGTTGCACCTGCTGGGAATGGGGACCAGGTAGTTTTCTTCTAAAGTAGTTGAAAAAACCAGATCTTTTCTTAATGGTTGCTAATGATAAGCATAAACTACAGGAGGTTACTGCAATAGAGTTCGACGGAGATGGAGGTTACCTCATGGCTGTTGGAAGTAGTGATGGAAAGGTATAATAGAAGGAAATGCAGTTTTTTAAGAGGTTTTGATAAATTTTCTGATGATCACGGTGAATGTTGAGTCTGAAGTTTTGGTTGGAAAAATCATTTATGATTGTCATTTCGGGAGTTTAGTCTTTTTTCTTATTTTGCTTGAAACTAGATAAAGTACACCTAAACTTTCTAGTTACTATTAATAAATTGTAGGAGGTGGAAAATTCACCTGCATTTTGATTATGAAAATTCTTACTCTGTCCTAACATTTAGCATCACCAAATTGGATGTTAATTAAGAGGACTTATAGAACAGTCAGCTAATGTAGTATGAAGAATATATTTTAACCTATGTAGTACGAAAATTGACATGAAACTAAGTAGGAAAGAGTATTTTAAAAGTCCTTACACTGAGTATATATAAAACATATCATGCTTAAAAGCATTGCATCTTCAATGTGAAATTTTTTGCAGATGTTCTTTCTCATGATAGTAAGGGTGTGTTTGGTACGAAGGAAAATGTTTTAGAAAATATTTTCTTGGAAAACAAGTTAATTTCTTAATTATTTTCTGATATTTGGATAGCAAGGAGAAAATATTCTCCTAGGAGAATTTTAATATAATTTGGGCAAACACTATTAACCCGAACCCTAGACCTCGGCACTGACCCCCGACCCCAACCTTGACTCCGCCCTCGACACCCTGCCCCTGACCCCCACACCTGACACCCGGCCCTCGACCTCTGTGTTTTGTGTCGCGAAGCCTGGTTCGGGCAGTTGAGGGGTGGCGGGGGCAGAGGGGTGTAACGATGGGGGAAGGGGAGCCGATGGTGGGTTAGCGGTGGTGGAGGGGTTGCTAGGGAGGCGGAGGTAACGAGATGTGGGTTTGGAGGGTGGGAGAGGGGTGGGGGTGGATCAAGGGTGGCCGGTGTGAGGTCGGGGTGTAAGGTGGTAGGTCTGGGGACCCAAGTGGCGAGGGTGTGATTAGGGGATGGCAGTTGGGGTGAGGAAGGCTGAAAGAGAGTTTTGGAAAATATTTTTCCTTTTCTTCGTGGGAAAAATTGGAGAAAAATGAGTTCATTAGGAAATTATTTTCCATGACATTTAAGCCAACCAAACATGGGAATTGGAAAACATTTTCCCCTTCATGCCCGACACACCCTAAATTTAAGACATTGCCCTCAACAACTTACCAAAAAGAGGTCTCACAATATTAGCTACGGGATGCCCCACAAAGTTGGCTTACTGATGTGTCCTTGAAGTATGAGAAATTATTAACTTGAATAGTTGTTACACCACTGGAAGGGAATGAAGAGAGAGAGGTTTTTAAAATTTCTGTTCTGTCTTTTGATTCATGCCGGAGAATAGAAAAAGACAAATAAGTTATGTTTTTATTAAGCCCACTCCAGTTAGAGTCTTGCTTGGTCATCGTCAATCGAGTTGGCTAAAGGAAGCTTGATTTTCTTGGGGGTGAAATTCTTGTCACTTTGAGGGCATCAGAAAGTAGTTATTGAAGAATAAATTATTGTCTTTGAGTAAAAATAAGTTGTCTTGTTAGCAAACATATATTTACATTGTGGAGGCTTCTGTGAAGTTTAATTTTTATTGTGTATAATGTTGGGCTGAAATGATTTTAAATGGAGAAACATGGTTAGTGAGGGTTCGAATAGCTGGAGCTAACTTGTTTACGACTGAGGCATAGTTATTGTTGTGTCTTATGTGATCAAGATGTCTAACAATACCTTGTAATGCGCAGGTTCTGATTTATGATTTACGATCTTCTCAACCTATGCGGATAAAGGATCATATGTAAGTTGCTTTGCCAGCTTATAATGGTAAAGTAATTCTGTTCTCTATTGCTCATGCATTCCGACACTTATATAGGTATGGGAGCCCGATACTGAACATTAAGTGGCATAAAACGCTTAACACTGAACGAACAAAGTTAATCACTGCTGACAGCCACATTGTTAGGATTTGGGACCCTGAGACGGTATGCAAGTCTTTGATCCTCTTTGTTGGTATTTGTCGTTTATATTAGTAATTCTGTAGTTTAGACAAGATCATTTCAGTTTATTGTATTTATATGCTGGAAAATAGAGTGCAGTACTAAAAACAACAACAAACCAGTTTGATCCCAACAGGTGGGGGAGGGTAGTCTGTACGCAGACCTTACCCCTACCTAATGCAGGTAGAGAGGCTGTTTCCAACAGACCCTCGGCTCAGGAAGGACAAGAAGAAGAAGTGAAAAGTAAGGAAGGAAGGGAAAAGAAAAAAAGAGGGGAGGGGGGATAAAGGATAAGTAGTACCAAATAATAGCAGCAGGGAATACAATACCTGAGGCAAACACAACCACATAGCATAATAGAAATCTAAGAATATGAAGAGACATGCATGCTACTAAGACTATCGGTGAACAACTATAAATTACCTACTAACCTTCTACCTTAATCCTCGACCTCCACACCCTCCTATCAAGGGTCATGTCCTCAGTGAGCTGAAGCAGCGCCATGTCGTGTTTAATCACCTCTCTCCAGTACTTCTTAGGCCTACCTCGACCTCTTTTCAAACTCTCCATAGCCAACCTCTCACACCTCCTGACAGGAGCATCAATGCTTCTTCTCTTACATGTCCGAACCATCTCAGCCTCGACTCCCGCATCTTGTCCTCCACAGAGGCTACTCCCACTCTGTCCAGGATAGCTTCATTCTTAATCCTATCTCTCCTGGTACACCCACACATCCATCTCAACATCCTCATCTCTGCTACTCTCATCTTCTGCAGGTGGGAGTTCTTGACTGGCCAACACTCAGTCCCATACAGCATAGCCGGTCGAACCACCACTCAATGATTTATTTTGGCCTTTGTTTTTTTCTGCTGCCTTTGCTATATGTGAAGTTATTAATGAACTGATTCAGCAAAGTAATCAAGACGTACTTTGGTGGGTCTGGTAAGAAGTTAATATTCAGGTGCAAGGGTGTCTTACAGATTTCAAAAAGAAATAGAATTAGAAGGCAAGGGAACAAGGAAAGAAAGAAAACGGGGAGGATATGACGAGCAGTGAAATTCTTTATTAAAATGTTTGTTGTTATATATTGAGCTTATTGATTATTCAGTTATTCTAATCTGCAAAATCTGTCAAACTTCAAGTTTCCCTTAAACGGTCCTACTTATTCTGAGAAGACATTTTTCTTTTTGATTATTTGTTCCTCTTGTGGACAAGTGGCCATCCTTTGATGTAGTCAGGGGCGTATCTATGTGTTGGAGCATGGGACACGTGAACCCATGCTACTCTCTCTATATAATGTATAATAATGTTATATTTCTTAAAAATTGCTTAAATATACATGTGTGCACCCAAGCTCAAAGAGTCATATGGTTCAATAATTATTGGGTGCATCTTTACAAGTGAAGTTAGATGTTCAATTCTTAGTTTGTAGTCATGTCTAGTGTCTCCTCTTGTGTTTAAATTAAGTATTTTTTTATTTTTTTATTTGGTTTATTCATTCAAATTCCCAAATCTAACACATTGAAATCCTTGATCTCCCTTTGTCATCGCAAAATTTTGTAAAATTAAAACTAATAGCAATGGATGATGTAGCATGGTTCAGTGATCTCAACATTTTTGATATGGAGTATATGTATATATGTTAAAAATCACTAAAACTATAAGAAAAAGTTTAATTTTAATCTATAATTTCTAAATGGTATTGGATTCATGGTAAGAACCTAAAGGTTGAATCCATCAAATATAAATTCTAGATTTACCTCTTTATGATAGTGCACCCATCTTCTTGGAATCCTGGATTCGCCTCTGGTCATGTAGTAGAAGTTTGGAGCAGTCCTTGGAGCTCATATTTCTTCATATATAAGCTATGAATTGAGTTGATATGATTTTTGGACGATTAATGATTTAGGGATTGTTTGACTTTAACAATAAAAAAAGGACCTAGGGATTGTTTAAGTGCTATGTAACTTGAAAAGACGTTGGTAATATAACTGTTGTGCTGGGATAATAGTGAAGCAATAGAGAAAAGGAAGGTACAACATAGGAATTACTGCTAGATCTCTTAGGCATCATCACAATAAAAAAACTATGTTTAGTAGAGATTATGGTGGTTATTGTTTTAGATAAACAGCAGGTTTACATCGTGACAAAGACACGAACTATATAGAATCACAACCGTTTGCCACCATGAAATCAAGGTTGGTGTCTGTTTTTGTCCTTCTTGGACCCACGTTAGGATATCATACAATTAATATTTATGATTATCTGCAATAGTCTTACGATAATGTTCATGTATCAGGCGGTAGAACACTAATTAGACATCACCAAGAGTTGCTTATGTTTCTACACTTAAGTTTAATCTAAGTTTCACATTTGGCATTGAACTCTTACAGGGAGAAGGCATGACAAGCATTGAACCAACGGGTGGGAGAATCAACGATTTGTGTGCATTCACTGACAGTGGATTGATGTTGTTGGCTCTTGACTCCAGTCAAATACCTTCGTATTTCATTCCTTCACTGGGGCCTGCGCCCAAGTGGTGTTCTTACCTTGAAAACCTGACGGTATGATGTGCTCCTTGTTTTGTTACCTTGTCATGCCAGAGATAATGGTTATTCTGATTTGATATTTATTTGCAGGAAGAGCTTGAGGAGCAACCCCAGACAACTATTTATGATGATTTTAAATTTTTGACGAAAGAAGATCTGGAAAAATTGAATTTGACCCATTTGATTGGAACCAGCCTTCTAAGGGCTTATATGCATGGTTACTTCATCGATTATCGTTTGTATAAAAAGGTGACAATCAGAATAAATTTGTCTACTAACTTTAAATGATTGGCCTTGCGAAACTTATGTGCATGTTGATGCTTTGCTCTTGCAGGCACAAGCATTTTCAGATCCATTTGATTATGTTGCTTACAAAGAGCGGCGGAACCAGGAAAAACAAGCGGCAGAGCATGCCGGTCGTATCACGGTTAGTTTCATAATGTCTGGGATTGGCCTTTTGCAAGTGTACACATGTCTCCTATCTTTTTCTGTGTGTGCCTACATGTGTATATATTGGTGGTCTAGCCACATTGCATCTTTAACCTGTTTGATATTCCTTGCAAATCAATATTTTTGTGTTGCGGGCCATACTTCTTATGGGAGGGAGTGATAAATCAGTGAGTCCATCATGAAGAGACTTTTGAAATAGCCTTGTAGCAACATTGGCTTTTAAAAGGAAAAAAATGGTTAGGCACACGTCACAAGTTCGAAACTTGACTGTGAACCAAATCCGGTATGGAAAATGGTAGATGGCGGGCCGTTATCCCCGAGTGTGGAAGCTGAAACAGCTAATTTTTGGTCAACAAAAGAAAGGCAAAAACTTTTGGAGGCCTTGGCTTAGTATGTTTTTCGCTGACCCCTTCTTCCACTTGCTCTTATTCTGAGCATCCCAATCCCCCAAATTGAAAAAGGGAAGGGAATACAAAGAAACCTTGAATTTGGAGGATTCTGATGCTTGCGCTTTTTTAGATCCTTTAGCGTATATTGTAAGACTGAACATTCTCCTTTTTCAAGTATGGTTGATTGTTCAGCTCGTTTTGAGCTGAAATGATATGGTTTACTCACGAGCAGATGTAGTTTTCGCAGCTGGTGCAAGGGGCCATTGCCTTAAGCTTATAGCTGGAAAACTTCTAAAAAATAGTATAGTTTGCACCTAATAGCACCCAAGGGTGTGGTGTAGTGGTCTATGAAGTGGGTTAAGAATCATGAGGTCTCAGGTTCAAATTCCAGCAGACAAAAACACTAGGTGTTTCTTTCCATTTGTCCAAGCCTTGGTGGACAGAGTTACCCGGTACCTGTGCTGGTGGGAGGTAGTAGGTACCCCGTGGAATTAGTTGATGTGCGCACAAGCTGGCCCATACTCCACAGTTACAGAAAAAATAGTCAAAAAAGTTATGGGTCTATTGATGCCCTGCACTAATTGACTTAAAATCCTGGATAGGTCAGCTTAAATAAAGTTTGCATCACCTAAATTCAACTAAAAGATGGAGCAAATCTTGATAAAGGAAAGATCGTCGAGAAAAATCTAGACTTTCACTAGATGACCATGAACCCATGAGAAAGAAGCTGTGGATTTTCTTGTGCTCTAGTTAGGCTTTTTGAAGTTGCTACGATAATTTATATGCCAATTGTCTGGCATCAAGTAATTACCAGATGCTGGAGAATTTTGGGTTTTACTCTTGTATTTTGTGCTAGCAGAAGATTGGAAATATTATCCTTTGTCCTTCATATTATTAAAAATTCAAATCTGACGGCCGTTACATGTCTCTCAATAAGGCCCTACTATTATCATTAGTCATGTCTACTCATGGTTCTTGTGGTGAAATCTACTTATACTGTTTCACTGCAATCAAAGTTGTGTGCTTCTCAAACTGAATGAAAAGAGGGGAAACAGGTTTCTTACTTAACTAGGCCTCTGCATGTATCTGTCATTTGAAGGGAGTTACCTTTTCAGAATACCTGTCTTACATTTTGTCATTCCTCTGCAGATTAAGAAGAAGCTTCCCAAAATTAATCGCACTCTGGCTAAAGAACTTCTTGAGAATGAAGAGACTGAGAATATGGAGGATGTTGATGGCGTTGACGCGAAGAAGATATCAAAGAAGAAGAAAGGACTGACCGCTGACATTCTGAAAGATGAACGTTTTGGTGGGATGTTTACTAATAAGGTATACAAAGTCTTTACTATGAATCTTATGCACTTCCTAGTGTTGAAGAACCAGTCCAAAATATCATCAGATTAAGTTGGCGAAAAATTAATTACATGTGCTTGAATTGCAAATTTCTTAGAAAGCTGGTCAAGCATTCTCAACAAGAAAAGTGTGCTTAGTACTTTTTAGATGTTGTCCCTGATAAATATATTTTTAAGCAATTGCTTTTATGTTTGCATACTCCTCTACTAGTTAAAATGCATTCTTTAAACTGATCCTAATACCCTTAAGTTTTTTTGGTGTATTTTGGTTTTTCAACAGGACTTTGAAATTGATGAATTTTCTCATGAGTATCGGGCACTGCACCCTATGCCTTCCACAAAGCAACCGTCTTTAGTGGAGGAACATTTTGAGCCTGTGATGGACGGTGAGGAACCTAGTGATTCTGATGTGTCTGCAGCAACACAATCATCAGAAGATGAACAAGAAAATGAAAAAAATTCTAGAAAAAAGTCCAAAGTTCCAAGGTAAGAAGTCAATGAATGCCCTCTTAATTCATGCCACATTTAGACTACAAGTTGTTATGCACCATGCTGGAAGTGAAGTTCAAGGAATAGCAGTTGGTTGACTCCTGATAATGGGCATGTTTAACCTCTAATGTTTCTTACGTAGACAAGTTGCATGGGTTTATACAAACTTTGTGGATTGAATGTACCTTTTTCTTTTGGGGATTGCAACAGTAATGTGGAATAAACTTTCTTATGAGACCAGAACATATCCTGATACCTTATATTGCTGCTTTAGAAAAATTAAAATGGCTGTATGTCTCACTATCCTTTAAAATTTCAGAATGTATGAAGTCAAGGATGAGAGGCATGCAGAAGCATTCTGGAACGATGTTTCACTTGCGAAGGAGGATGCTCTTCCACTAGGTGAACGGGTTGCAGCCTTGTCAGATGATCGGACTTCTCATGGTATGAACAATATCAAGGTGGGACCCGGAGGTTCAAGAGAAGTTTCCTTTATTTCCAGAAGCTCAGCGAAGTATGTGGAAGATGAAGAAGACAAGGGAGCACGAACTGAAAGGAGAAGAGGGATCCAGTCCTTGAAACTGAAGCCTGAGAGATCAGGTTTTCGGGGTTCGGGTTCCCGAGACCGAGGTAGAGGAAGAGGTCGTGGAATGGGCAGAGGAAGAGGGCGACGATAAATTTTTCATACAGTATTAACAACCATGTCAACGTAAGGAACTATTATTCCTTAAACTTGTTTGATGTCTTACTTATATAATTAATGCAGAATGGGCAGAGGAAGGGGTAGACACGACATCTTTATGTTTCATGCTGCAAATCTATGCCATTTCATACATCAGTGCAAATTTGAGTCAAGAAAGCAATGAGTTCTCAGATAAGTTACCTTTCTTTTGCAGTCGTTTGTTTGACATGTAACTGAGAGTTGTGGCTTCTTTCTGCCACCGCCTAATAATCACACTTGTAATAGATGTTTTCTGGAAACCTAAAATTTTGGCCATGAAAATGATCTGATTGCAACCTAGTGTAGTTATCCTTGCACCTTTTGGTACTACCTATACACTTTTGCTAGTACTAATCATTTAACATGATTCATCATGTCGCTGCCCTTAGCATTAACCAATCAATACATTCAATATGTTCTGCCTAAATGTCCAAATATTCATGTTAATTAGTGATTGATAAAATATGACACTCTTGTACTGGAGCTAACATGTTTAACTCTTTTTGTAATTTTGCATCTTCCTGGCAATGATATTAACTTACTTCGTCAAAAAAAAGTGATTAATAAAATATTTCTTGATGTTGGTCCTTGATAGGATTTGCAGATCATGTGCTTTAAAGGTGACATTTTAGTTAGTCTACTAGTTCCTTGTACTTTTTTCTTTATTCAATCCTTCAAACACCTCCTTAAGTGAACCTGCTCCTTGATTACTGCTGAAAATATTGTTTACAATTATTGTTCATAAAGATGAAGGTTCATTTCTTGATGAGGTTTCGTATCACTATAACCAGAAGTGGTCAAATAAGAAATGTGCAAAGTTGAGATTTGCTGTTGGAAATTATTTACACTCTGCATATGTTCAGTGTCCTTCACTCTTTCTTATCTACTTGGCAGAGGCTATCAGGAGCATCATTATTTATTATTTGCAAATTGCAGTGCATCCAAAGTGCTCTTTCTCCAGAAGAAATAGTCAAAGTAAGGAAGCTACCTGTTCTACCTTTAAATGTGTTGATGAACAGCGACGTGATTTTTTTTTGTTGAACTTAAACTATATTTCACCAACATTAAAGTAATATCCTTAAAAGCAGAAATTCTGAACTGATTAATAGTTTGCTATATCTTGTTCGTGGCAACACATCTGTAATTCAACTGAAGTATGGTTTTCTTAGGTCATGGCATTTGACTATGAAAGACATAACTCAAGAAATGCATACGCGCTACACAGAATATGTTCTTCTGACATTTTCTTTTATAATATAGCAGGCTTTTAAGCCCAATTCAGTATCAGCCATCTAAAATTTAGCTTTAGTTTTTTGTGATAAAGTCATCCTCTTCAAGCTCTTTCGCATGAGTCGTTGAAAAGTGGACGGGTTTCAATGCCCAGTCTAGCCAAGAAGTGCCTCCAGAACCTACAAGCACACCTTGTGTTATAGTGCAGTGAAGCAAGGCAAAATGTAAAATAGAAAGCGCCTTATCTATAAAAAGACTGAAATATTGTTTTGTAAAAAGGAATTCTTTTTGTAGTTTTGGAACAAGGAACGGTTTAAGTGCTGTAACTGCTGCTTTTATATTGGATTGTATCTCGTACTTTTTCCCTTACCTCCTTCAGAGGTTTTGGCGTGTCATGTGTCATAAAACCTGCACTGTTGCGTACAATGAAGATCGAGAACATAACCATGCATCTTGAATTATCGATCTCGTTATGTCCCATTCCCTTTCGATCTATTTTTACTTTTAACTTCATTCATGTGTCCGTTTGGTGGAATACTATCTAGGGCTGTGGCTCTATAAATTTAACTCTGTAAAATGCTTGCATTTGTACTAGATGCCAGTTTTCTGCTTTGAGTTATTTGAGACTGGCTTACTTACTATCAAGATGCCACCATGGGTCAATTGACAGCTCCCAAGCCCCTCAATTTATTTTTTAGCCTTATCATTTATGTTTAGGTTTTGCATCACACTTGTGTTTGAAAATTTAAAAATCCGAGTACGAAATCCAAGTACAATGAACATAGGAATCTTTTCTCCGATGGTTTGGAAGTAATGTAATTGTTCTAAAGTTACTTGCAGTCAACATGTAACTTGTTTAACTAGACTTCATAAAAAAAACCTTGTTTAACTAGATTTTGTGAGAATTTGTTTGTTGTCCTCCTTTTTCTCTTATTGTGTGTGGCCAATCAGGTACAGAAGGTGTGTACATTCTACAGAGAATTGATATTCTTTCTTCTGATCCAGGTGCTTAATCTGGAGGCCATTGACAAAAAGTTTACACTGGAGGATTATGGGTTGTAGCGCATACACCGGACTAGGGCTACAAGACATTGTGTCTCGGATCTATATGTTTTGATTATGTGATGCTTGCATCAAAATTTTGTTTGTAGATATAAGATAGAATATCCTGTAGGAAAATGTAGTAATGCTTTTGCTCATCCGTGCGCTGCTCTACTGCTCTACGTGTGAGGAAAATTCTTGTAAGTCTCAATGTTTAAGTTGGAGTGGAGGCCTCTTGTCTACTTATAGATGCATGTTGCCTTTTGATGCCAAGGCATTTCTGAACTAGGGAAAGAGTTCAAAGTTTTATACTTGTGCCATATTGAAATTGTAAAGGGTGGAAAAAAGAGAACCCTCTAGATGTTATTCTACATTTGTGGTAACTTATATTTTGTCAACTTCACCTTGCTTAAGTAACTTGTAGCTGAACAGATATGACCATTAGTTACAGATTGACACACTGCTTTTTTGTTTAATGCTTAGGACTGTAATCGGGCCGAGTTTCATGTAGCGCGTTTGAGTTCCCTCTTGCAATATTTGTATCATAGTTTTCTTCTATATTTTAGTCTCATTTTGAGGGTCGCTTTAGCTAATCTAATATATCCTTGATTAGATATGGGAAGAAGCCTTAGCTCTTCTTATTTTGTTTAGTTATTTGCTTAGGATATGAACTTTGTAATATGCACCAGAGAATCATACGAATTTTGAACTTCATAAGAAGTTTAGTTTGATTAGCATCACATGATCTAATTGCAACTTTTGCATAATCGGATGTAACTTTATATGAATTACTAATAAGAAAAATTTCATTGAATTGAGTACATTATACATGTCCAACAATAAGGTATAAGAGTATTCATCTACATATCCAGAATATGAAATGATACTCATGTTTATGCTAATTATTTGAAAGTAAAACAACAATACTAGTTGTAATTTCGTTAACATTTAACATTATTTCTCTTTTTTCTAGGACAGAATGGTACTTCCCTGGTCCCCTTTTTTTAATCGTTTAAGGTTTTACGCATTTATTACAAAAATCATTTACATCATTAAATCCTGAAGGGTATATGATTAAATTACCCCTATCTATGATAATATGTCTTTTTGGAATGGTAAGATTGATTTGAAAAAAAATTAATCAGTTTTTGTTTTCCTAGAATGATAAGTGTTTTGGATTAATTTTTATTTTTTTTTACCAAAGCGAGAAATAAATAGGGTAATAATTGAATTTAGCCTTAAGAACAACAACAACAATATACCCAGTACATTATCATAAGTGGGGTTTGAGGAGGTAAAAATTGCACGGGGCACCCTATTTGGGCGCCCCTCTTTAACCTGTAGCCGCTTTGTCTTTTTGTTTGCATCCGTACCCACTTTTTAAAAAACTTCAGCTTCCCTTTATAACTGAGAAACTTCAGCTCTATAGCTGAAGTTTTCGGGTTACTAAAGCTGAAGTTTTTATTTTATAACTAGAGCTGAAGTTTTCGGGTTACTAAACAAAAACTTCAGCTCTAGAGCTGAAGTTTTTATTTTATAACTAGGAAACTTCAGCTCTAGCTGAAGTTTTTATTTTATAACTGGCAAACTTCAGCTTTAGAGCTGAAGTTTTCCAGTTACAACACAACTGAAGTTTTTCAGTTACAACACAAAAACTTGAAGTTTTTATTTTATAACTGGAAAACTAGAGCTGAGGTTTTTATTTTATAACGGGAAAGAGCTGAAGTTTTTGTTTTATAACTGGAAAACTTCAGCTGGAAACTGCTTAAGTTTTTATTTTATAACTGAAAACTTAAGCTGGAAACTGCTTAAGTTTTTATTTTATAACTGAAAAACTTAAGCTGGAAACTGCTTAAGTTTTTATTTTATAACTGGAAAACTTAAGCTGGAAACTGCTTAAGTTTTTATTTTATAACTGGAAAACTTAAGCTAGAAACTGCTTAAGTTTCTATTTTATAACTAGAAAACTTAAGCTCTAGAGCTTAAGTTTTTATTGTATAACTAGAAAACTTAAGCTGGAAACTGCTTAAATTTTTATTTTATAACTGGAAAACTTAAGCTGGAAAACTGCTTAAGTTTTTCGGTTACAAAGACAAAAACTTCAGCTGAAGTTTTCCAGTACAAAAGAAAAACTTCAGCCCCGTGGGCTGAAGTTATGTGAAAAAGCGGGTACGCTTGCAATTTTTTTTGCAAAGCGGGCACAAGTTAAAATGTGGCACAAAAAACGAGTATAGATGCAAATGCCCCTTTGAGGAGGTTAGTGTGTAAGCAAATTTTACCCTTACTTTGAGCAGGTAGAGAGAATATTTCTAAAAGACCCTCGTCTCAGCTAAGCACAATAATCAACAATAAATGAATGCAATATATATATATATATATATATATATATATATATATATATATATATATATATATATATATATATATATATAAACAAAATGAACCAAAAGCAATATCAGGCAATAATATGCAAAGAATAGGCCACAACTAGTGTCATGCTAAAGCTATCGAAAAGAAAGGGATGTACGCTATACTACCGACTAACCTTTTATCCTAATCTTCAACCTCCACAACTTTCTATCAAGGGTCATATCCTTAGTAAGCTGCAGAAGCGTCATATCATGTCTAATCACCTTACCCAAATACATCTTAGGCCTCCCTCTACCCTTCCTTAGATCCCTCATGTGCAACCTTTCACACCTCCTTACTGGTGCCTCCGGGCATCTGTTTCTCACATTCCCGTACCATCTCAGCCTCACTTGTCGAAGCTTTTCCTCCATGGAAGCTACTCCCACCTTATCCCGAATAACCTCATTCCTGATCCTGTCTCTCCTGGCATACCAACACATCCATCTCAACATTCTCGTTTCCGCTACCTTCAACTTTTGGAAATGGGAGTTATTTACCGCACAACATTTCGCCTCATACAACATGGCCGGTCTAATCACCACTCTGTAGAATTTACCTTTAAGTCTTGATGGCACCATCTTATCACACAAGACACCGGAGTAGGGGTGGGCATCGGTCGGTTCGGTTGTGAATATTATCGGTTCTTCATATCGGATATCGGTTTACAAATATACCAAATCGATAACCGAACCGATCAGATATCGATTATCGGGTATTGGTTATCAATCCTTATTGTTTCGGTTATCGGTTTACCCGATAAGAATAAAAACTATCCAAAAAATTCATGTTTTTATTATAGAAATCGTGACCATACTATTAAGAGAAAGGAATTGAATTTTTGTTCTTAAGAGAAGAGAGATTAAATTTCAACTTAGAAAATAAAACTTTCTTTGCTTTTGAAAATTCCAATGAATTATCTAAATTTTCAAAGTTATAAGTTAATATGAGTAAGGGATAAGATATTCAACAATCTAATCTAACTAACTATCTCACTGCGGGCGGACATAATTCACAGGAAAATAATAAAAATCATAATCTTCTAAATACTAAAGAATCAGTGCAACAAAAGAAACGAATAGAAAAACTACAAATATGAACAATTAATTCTCTAAAGTTTAAAACTAAAATCTTAATTGAAAAACTAAATTCAGAAAAGTTTAAAACTTACTCTAAGATTAAGGTCAGAAGATGAAGAGTAACTGCCGAGAGTGGAGAAAATGAAGCCATAAGATGGTTTTATATACTTAATGGGTAAAATTATAATTTTGATAAAGCTTATTGGGCTATCGGTTAAACCGTTAATAAAATTGGACAAACCGAGACCCGAACCGATAACCCATTAGTCAAATAACATTAAACCGTTATTGAACTACCAATAACCCAATAGCATTTTATCGGTTCGGTTTATCGGTTATACCCAATATATGCCCAGCCCTACACCGGAGGCAAGCCTCCACTTCATCCATCATGCTCCAATACGGTGTGACATCCTCGTCAACCTCCCCGTCACCTTGGATTAATGACCCAAAGTACTTGAAACTACCCCGATTGAGGATGACTTGAGAATCCAGCCTTACCTCCCCCTCGTCCTCATGAGTTCACTACTAATTTGCACTTCATGTTGTCTTTTTTGGGGCTGCTCAACCTGAAGAGTTAAAATTAAAGTGAAACTATATAAGATATAATCATATACAGTGATAAATAGGTGTGTGAAAGACATGCCTAATGCACAAAGCATTCCGCATATAGTGCACAAAGTATTCCGCATATGTAGGTCCGAGGAACGATCACACCCTAAGAGATGTGATATAAGGAGCTTACTTTGACCCAATCACCACTAGGTGATTCCACGACTATTACCCGTTGTAGGAAGGACATAAATGTTAAATATAGTATTATTTTGCGTGACAATCAAAGATAGTACTCCCTCCGGTCCAAAATAAGTGATTTTCTGGATGTTTTCACCCAAATTAAGAAATCCATCTTTTAGCATTAATTAGCAATGGAATTGACCATATTAACCTTTACTATCTCACATAAACACTCCTAACACATATTCCAACACCATTTACTTCAAGGACAATGTAGGAAAAAAATAATTAATTCATTCTTGAAATATGAAAAAATAACTTATTTTGGACCACAAAAAAAATGCCAAAAAATCACTTATTTTGGACATGAGAGAGTAGTGCATTAACCATTTCTTATTAGGGAATTAACTCAAGTATATGTCACCTCTTCGTTTCTCCTCCCCCTTACTCCTCCGTTAAATTTCCCAGTAATTCCCTCAAAACTCCTTGGGCGCGCCGTACGCGGTACACTATCTCTCGAAGCAACCTTTTCTCTTCTTCTCTTCTCTCTTAAATCCCTCAACAGATCCACTTTTCACCTCAAAACCCTCGATCTCCGATGATGCCGCCACCGAATTCCGCCCAATACACTCAACAATTCCTCAGTAGCGTTCTCTCACAGCGCGGCCCTTCCGCACTTCCGTACACCGAAGACGTCAAATGGCTAATCCGGCAGCACCTGTTGTCGCTCATCGAAACTTACCCTTCACTTCAGCCTAAAACCGCTACTTTCACTCACAACGACGGCCGCACCGTTAATCTCTTACAAGCCGACGGCACCGTCCCGATGGTTTATCAAGACGTCACGTACAACATCCCCGTTATTATCTGGCTGATGGAATCTTATCCTCGTCACTCGCCTTTGGTGTTCGTGAATCCCACACGCGACATGATCATCAAGCGCCCGCATCAGTTTGTGAATCCGTCCGGGGTTGTGTCGATCCCTTATTTGCAGAATTGGATTTACCCTAGTTCTAATCTCGTCGAATTGGCTCGTAATTTGAGTCATTTCTTTGGCCGTGATCCTCCGCTTTATGCCCAGCGTCGTCCAAACCCTAACCCTAGCCCCAGCCCGAGCCCTCATCCTCCGCCCAGTACGAGTTTTTCGAATAATAATAATTCGCCGGTTGGGCCGGGTGGTGTAATTCGGCCCGCAATACCTCCTCGGGCATTTCCACAATCACCTTATGGGAGTGGTAGTACGGGGAGGATAATGGACGATCCGTCGGAGGTTTATAAGAGGAATGCCATAGATAAGCTTGTTGTTAAGCTGCATACTGATATATTAGCGTTGAGAGAAGCGCGGGAGGCTGATATGGAGGGGTTGTTTAATGCTCAAGGAGTGTTGAGGCAGCGTGAGGAGCGATTGAACGAAGGTTTAAAGGAAATGCAGGACGAGAAGGAGGGTTTAGAGCAGCAATTACAGATGGTTCTGATGAATAGTGATGTATTAGAGGGATGGCTGAGAGAAAACGAGGCGAAAATGACAAATTTAGGGAATGTGGATGTGGATACAGCATTTGAGCCGTGCGATCATCTTTCCAAGCAGATGCTGGATTGCACGGCATCTGATTTGGCGATTGAGGATGTGATTTATTCGTTGGACAAAGCTATACAGGACGGGACAATACCTTTTGATCAGTACTTGAGGAACGTGAGGTCGTTGTCACGCGAGCAATTCTTTCATCGCGCCACTGCATCAAAGGTTAGGGCTGCTCAGATGCAGGCTCAAGTTGCTAATATGGCTTCTAGAGCATCGTCGCCTTATGCATTGTGATGGATGTCAGAATCACTTGCAGTCTTGTTCACAACAGACCGTCGGTCAATATGGTTTTCAAGGTTGGTTTACTTGTGAATAATCTGTCAATGTGCTATATCCCTGGAAATAGATCTTGACACTACATTTTGGCGTGGGTGTTAGATTTTGGTTTATTGATTGTATCATTTTGTTACTGAAGTATAATCATACTTGAGGGATTTTACCCTGTGCAACTGATATCCACAATTTTCATTTCTTTATCAAGTCATTGCAATTTTCTGTGGCATTGGGACCAATGATTAGTTTGCTTTCACCCTCTAAAAAATGAGTAGTGAGAGGTTCCAACTCTTTCTTCTTCCGAGGAATATTTTAAATTGCAGTAGTAGAACTTGAACATTGCATAATTTAAGAAGGTATAGGTATAGTGATCAACATTCTGTTCGATACTCTTTGTATATTTTTGTGGTCTTATTTTCTAGCATGGGGCATGTTAGGTTTAGGACTTTCTCAAGAACTTTGCATTGTATATGAAATTGTAGAAGTTACTCCATCTGATGGTATTTGAGTAATCACTATAATCACTGAATTCAAAGATGTTTGACTTATTTAGTGAGAGTGGAAGAAAATGCTAAAGCAACAGTAGAGTAGTGTAAGTTTTAGAGATGTAAATACCATTTATATGAAATGTCTGCATGGGTTTGCTGCGACATGGAATCACACTCATTGGTCCAAGGCCAGGAACTTTGGCTGGGGAAAAACTACTGTGCAACGCCTTATAGAATACATTCTTGTGTGGTTTTTAAACCACATTATGAAAGAAATACATAAGTTAGTTTAGACTTATCAAAAGAGTACTCTTTTAGAGAAATCACTAGATTTATAACGACTTGTTACACGTTAAAGAATAAAATACTTGAAATATATTTCAAGAGGAGAAATCATTTTAGGTTTTCATGCACCTCTAGGTCTGTCTCGTTTCCTAATTTTTCGGCTGGGAGCCTCATCACCTAAAACCTTCCATTTATTTAGTTTACCTCTATCAGATACTTTTCGCCCACATATTGGCATTGCTGCAATTACAATTATCTAGCTGTTGCCAACCAATCATCTCCACTAAGTACTGATGAAGTAAACAAGTACAAGATCCAAACTATTGCTTATTTGTCACTATCACTGTAGGCCAAAAGTTTAACATTCAAAAGGATAACTAGATATGCGTAGCAACAATCAAAAGTAAGAAACTAGATAAGAGTAGTTCTAAACTCTCTTTTACATAAGAACCTAAGTAATTTTTTCTGATACATATAGTTAAATATGCTATATGATTGTTCAATTTCCATACTTTCTAGGTTCTTTTGGGGAAGGGGGACCAGAAGCACTATTTTTTCCTTGTCTGGGATGGAGTTTGTTGGTTAATATGTTCTATGTTTTGGTGGTGTCTGATGAGGAACTCCAATTGGTGGTGATTAGAATAACTTATAGTGGTGAACTGTCCTTTGTATGGATGATGAATCTGGCTTCAAGTTGAGGGTCTATTGAGTGCAGAATTCTTAGAGACTCGGACACCCGGTGCAAATAAAAAAAAAAGAATTCTTTTGAAAAGGGTAAGAGCTTAATATATAATTTCGAACTATTTCTTCTGGAAAATGGAATTCAAAGAATGATAGGATTTTAGTGGTCTTATGCCCTGGGCATTTTGATCTGGAAGTCTTAGAGATTAAGAGGGTGTTTGGATGGCTTTTAAAAAGTAGCTTTTAAGCTAAAAGCCGAAAGCCATAAGTTGATAATACCCAGCTTTTGGCTTATTTTTGTACTTTTCACGCCTAAAAGTAAGTACTTTTAAGCAATTTTTATCATTGCCAAACACCACAAAAACTAGAAAGTGCTTAAAAGCCTAAGCACTTAAAATAAGCCAATCCAAACACCCTCTAAATCATGCTCACGGCTAATGATTCGGTCAAGCTTAGCATCTCCAACAAAAATGATAGAAGCCTGAGATAGACATTATCTTGAACTTGAGGTACACGTCTCGGGTTCATCGTTTACTGTTGACACTAGTTGAAAACTGAGTAGAAAATTGAATACTTTATTATGAGAATATGGTACTTTTTTGCTTGTAGTTTGGATGTTGATTCCTGTCTTGCTGTCACTTTCAAAAAGTCATTAACCGGGTCCGGCTGATATATACTTTTGACAACACATTAGCTTGTGCTGTTGCTCAATGACCAAAGCAGCTTCCATGGCCACTCCACTTCCCAATTATCACCCTTTCCTGCAGCATGCTGTAACAGCTCTTGACAGAGAAGATTCCATTCTTCTCCACCTATCATCTTAGGGAATCTCTCTTACTGTCATCCAAAGTATAAGATTCCAATGAATTTAGTAACTGGCTAATTCCATTGATTCCCCAGTTGTTGAAATGTCTTCTAAAATTCAGCTGCCATCCAATTCCTTCAAACAGTCAATAATCAGACGGTTTTTGTTAATTGTTTAACTGTACAAAGTAGGGAACTGCACTTGGATGGTTCTTAGTGGACTATTTGAGAAGGTATAGATATAGCGATAACATTCTTTTCAGATTCATTTGCATTTCCTTTTGTACATAGTTTTCTAGCAGCGTGGCATGTAAGCTTACAAGTTTCTCGTGTACTTTGCATTATATATGGAATCGTAAAAGTTTTTCTTTCCGTCTCATATAAATTTGATTGGACATAGGGTCTAAGTTGTTTGACATGCCTATTATATTATTAGTGATAATGAAAAAAAAAAAGATTATTGAAGTGAAAAGTTAGTATGATAGACATCTCAGTAAACCTTGAAATTTGAAATTGTTCATTAAATTTGAATTCTTGAAGCTAGATAGCTGTCTGGCAGTTGAATTACGTTAAACATCTTAAGATGTCTAAAATAGAAATAGGTTTGTATGATATGGAGACAATGCTTATGCTTTTCATGTAATATGCATCCAAGGTATTCTCAGATGGTCGCCTACGGTGTTGCTAATGGTTTGCTCCTAGAACCCAGTTCATCGGGATGGATGCTCGAACTTTGTTGCTTTGATTTTTTTAATTGGTGTTTCTTCTGCACTCAATCTTATCATTACGGGCGAAACCCTCCAGTTCATACTGGGGGCAAACATATCTACCAACAGTACAATTTTTTTAAAAAGAATAGCAGTTTCCGTTGTTTAAAAATTATAATCCACTTCTTACTTAAGAATCATCTACATAAGTGTGTGCGTCCATGTGTGTATATACCGAATCAAATTGTAAAGTATGTTAAATTAAAATTACAAGTTTTAATTCCTCTAAAAATAAATTCCAATAAAAGGGCTCAGTTTAAATAAGCGCTGGAAGAAATGATACCAAGACACTTTGTTCCCTTGAACACCCAAAAAAGAAAAGGAATCGAAGATTAGCTTGATTGATAGGAAGATAAGTGTGCAATATAATATAGTGACAACTGAGGGAAACGTAAGAGGATATTAGGTGAGCACCAAGCTAAGGGGGAAACTCTGAACAAAGAAATGGTCCATTTAAAGTGAAGTGAAAAGGCAAGCACACTGAGGAGGTAGATATCATATCTTTTTGTCAATGGTGGGAACAGCATTTTCTAACTCATGCCGCCTATTCTTCTTCTTCCATTAAATTCCATAAATAAAAGAACGTTAAATGCAGACAAGTCAATCTACTTTCTCATCTAATATGCTGGTTTCACAAGTGCAAATGTGTTTCCTCGTTTTGTGTTAAACCAAACTTAATGAAAAGGTTACAACAGACCAAGAATACCAAGTATTGCATTAGAGCTCTTTATATTAGGAGCTCAAACTCCCAATATTTTCAGGCAGTCTCCACGAGCCTAGCAATATGACTTGACCGCTTTGCTACCCATTGCTTCATTCCAGTAAATGTGCATACGTTCAAGTCGCCATATTAACATTTCTCGCTATAATTGCTATAATCTTTCCCTGACAACAGTTCTCGAGAGTTTCTCACTGTCCCGTGTCAATATCAAAGTTTCTGCATGCACTGGAGTAGTGCAACGCCCAGATTTCATGGAATCTAAAGTGCGCCTTTTTAGATTGCATCTTGCTATTTTCACAATGCTTAAGGAGCGCCTGTTAAACTGAACCAGAAATACAAATATCAGGACGACATTATAGAGGCTGTCTAGATTACTAAAGACTTCTTGCAATCATACCAGAATATGAGGTTATAGCATAAATATAATGACACCAAGCACTACTCTAGACACTGAAAAGAAGATTCATTTGAACCACTTTAGTCATGAATATGCAAGAAGCTGAAGAGTAATACAACTATTGCGGCTGCAAAAAGGTTTAACATTGGAAAAATAATTTTGAAAAGAAAGGGGTATGAATATGTACATTAGAGCAATAGAAGAGCGTAACAGTCAGAAAGCTTACATCTGGAAGATCAAAGTCACCATCCTTTGCATCGCAAACATCAAGTGCTACCTTCCGAAGCAGTGGCATCTAATTGCATAACAAATATTATTACGACACCTCAGGGTTCATGTCCTTGAAGAGAAAAATACATTATCTGTGCTTACCCTTGAAGCGGCATGGATAATAAAATTTCTGTCTATTCCACAGCCCTATCATTCAAAAGTTGAATTTCAGTTCAGTAGCAACATTTGTGTACAACAGCATCTTCAAAAGCATATAGGTACCTCACTTAACAGTAAAATCATGGCGACAATGTCATTTCAGCAACCCTAAAAACATCACTAAGTTTGTACAGTCGCAAAGAGTGTGACTGGATTCACTCAGACTTCCTAGAAGTCCTTATGACTAGAACAAAAAGGAAATAAGAATCAGATTTAAGTTTGTATCATATCTACCACATCCTCTGAAATTTATTGTCCAGTATTAGTGATGCTCCTCTATTTGATTTTATTTGATCTACAGGGGTGCAGGATATTAAATAGTAGAAGACTTACATTATGGCGTAATAAAAGATCTTCAAGTGCTTGACAATTCTTAAGCGAAGTGACACCCTTGGCAGTCACTTCACCACAGTCCTAAACAAGATTAGTCCAAATGAAATTGTGAGAGAACAGAGGCAACTACATTACATTTCCTGAGGAAATAAACAAAATAAGTATCAAATCATTTGGCTCAAAGATACTAGCGATGCAACAAGACATAAAGAACGCTTGAAAAGACTGAAATTTGAATTGCTTTTTGGTTGGGCATCGGATCTATATCTACGTCGTCTGAAAATGAAACTAGCTATATGTCCTATCATATGGAGTACTAAATAGCTAACAGAAAAACCAAAATGTGACATGAAATGGAACTCATCAACTAAATGCTTCTGAGATGACAAAATATGACATGAAATCGAACTCATTAATTAAATGCTTCTTATGCATCAGCCCTCCGTTACTGATATAGACGGTATGTTCCGGAGAAGCATAAATTCAGAAACAGTTGATCTGAACTTGTCAGGCTGCAGTTTAGGATTTAACAGGGTTTAGGTCTGTCTGCGTCAGCTATTTTAAGAGATCAGGATCTCAGGTAAATTACACTTCTCATTGGGAGTTTGAAACTATTTCTCAATAGTGGATTGCCAGCCTGTTAACCTCTTTGCAAACATTGATCAAAGTGCTTGAGCTCTATTTTATCTTTTTTTCTTGATTTCGTGGCATGTTTACTTAGGAGCGTCTTAATTCTTATAACAGGGTATTGTTTACACCTTCGGATTGTATGAGACACTTCATTGTTAAGCATCCAACTTCGTAGAGATTCTGATCTCTGGTAATTCTCTTTGTAGTACTACAGTTGATACCAAATTCTGTAGTTGATAATTGGATACATGGCTTAATAGGAGGTCTGCATCCATTGACAAATGTTTCTCTCTGCTTTTCACCCGTGGAATCTTCAGATTCCTACCGTGTATGCTTCTCTTCTGAAAATAACCTTTTTCCTTTTGTTAGAAATGTTGTCGGAAAACTTAAGTTGCAACAATCGCAAGTGAAGAAATATTTAATGGCCTAAAAGAATACACCTAATATGCTAGGGAAATCATTTGGAAGCTGTACCATTTAAGAATCCGATCACCTAGGCAAATTTAAATAAAATATTATTCTTTCTTCAGCTTGAAGAATTAGAAATTTCAAAAAGAAACATGACAGCAGGTATATAATAAGTGGAGTGACAATAGCAATGGCACACCTCTAAATGAAGAGAGATCAACCCTGGCCAACCATTTGAAATAGTATCTTGTGACTCTGCAAAGAAACACTATAAGGTCATAAACCATTTATTTGCATTTTGCCCATACTTGTTTACCCCAAGCATGAATGCACTAACAATATACAGTCCCTGTGATGTATGCTATTTGCAAACAATATTGTGTTAATTGGCGAAATTAGAGAGGGTGTCAACAAAGTTGAAAAATGTAGAAACTTTCTAGAGAGTGAGGATTTAGTTAGGGTAGGCAGAAGATAGAATATATGCACCGCCTGTTTAGCCAACATAAGAAAAATGAAGTTGAGGTGAGATAAGAGCGGATTGCAGTTTAAAGGGATGAGGTATACCTAAATCACATGCAAGAAAGTTATTTCAAAAGACCTACAATCTCTTCGAAACTAGGTAGACTTGGTGAAAATAAAGGCACAGTGGACGAAAAGGACCCACATAAGCAATACCAACTAGTTCGATTAAGGCTTAGTCATGTTGGTACACTTACTTTGGGTACAATGTCTGTTAGGAGTCTTAGTGTTGTTAGAGATTTGTATGCCTGTAAAATATGCAGAGAACTTCTAGTGCTAGAGAACCTAAACGGTTTTAACATTAGATTGAGGGGATAAATGGAGCAACATGGATAGCGAGGATTTATATAGCCAACCCTAACTAGCTTGGGATTGAGGCATAGCTGTGGTTAATGTCTAATTGATCTGGAGAAAGAAGAATAGCGAAGTAGATTTGTTTGTTACAACTGGATGAATCTCAGACAGAGGAGAAGATTCCAAACATCATAAAAATTCAAACAAGATGTTGTTGAGAGTAATGCAAACCTGAAATAAGACGTCTGCATCCCACCAGCGAAAGCTCTGTTATGTTCATGCAATTCTGAGTAAGGGTAAGTAAATCATCATCGGTCATCTGTGATGTTACTCTTTCAAGCTTCAATTTCCTCAAACACGGTGCACTGAACTGGAAGCTTAGAGAGGAGATATCACCGAAGCAATAGCAAAGAGCTAACACTTGCAAGTTTTTTAAGGTCTCCAAGACATTTCTTACAACAGAATCAGATATTACCTGTTAAGATCAGTAATGCTAAGTAGGCGACACTGATTTCAAGGACCAGTCTGAAATGCACATCATTTAAGACTCGGACAAGATAAACTACGTTAGCAACCGAAGTTAGATTTCCAGGCACAACGAGGTCTGGTAGATTGTGTTACCAACTGGATGCCCCTATTTTTCTATGCTCAATGAAATGAAAAACTGACACTCTCAATTCATACAAACCTACGTACACTCAGATCAAAAAACAAATGTATATGTCAGATCCTGTAAGTAATAAGTTTGGAGAGAAGAATCTCAGGGCACTATTGTACCCTGATAAGTCCCAGTATTACAAGTTAATGTTATAAAATTACTAAAAGTATACTCCCTCTGTCTGATTTCTTTGCGGGTTTGCTTTTTGATGTCAAAACTTTATAACTTCGACGACAATTTTTGTTTTTTGATAAGTACATTTGACCACAAGTTCTAAAATTATATACTATTAAATATTTTTTGAAAATATAATCATATCTATGTAGAAAATGCGAGAGTGGTGGCTTTATCAAAGTCCAACTTAAGGACCAGATTTCCAGTCTCGAATAATCTAAGAAATTGTAAGATTCAGAATAGAACTTTCAAAGAACAAAGAAACTATATACAGACAAATTAGCAAATTCCATTCCTCCATTTTATTGAATGATATTAAAAAGTTTCTCTCCAAGCTTTTGAAATCTCAAGTAAAGATGAACAGATTTAGAGACAAAGAAGAAACCTTAGTTTTCAAGCCCGGGTAAATAAGAATCAGACTTGAAACAGGTTGCAGCCCTTCAGCTTAACTTTCAAGGATAAATACCCAAGGTAAAGATAACTTTCATCACACTTCATGTTACTTGAAGAAACCATTGATCATGAAATATACATGTTCCATTGTCACTAAGGTAAAGACACTAGAAGGTGGTCCTTATCCAAAAGAGAGAGAGAGAGAGAGAGAGAGAGAGAGAGAGAGAGAGAGAGTNACGTTACAATAGGCTAAGGGAACTTAACCCAATCGAAAAGACTCGAAAAATATCAAAATTCACGAAATTTGCAAAACCCGAGCCCCGGGCCCACTTCTCAAAAATCAGAAATTTAACATCATCGGATTCCTTATCTCACCACGAGTCTATACATATCAAGAACTCCCAAATCCAAGTTCAAATGACCCATCAAAACCCACTTTAAAATACCAAAAACTAAGCCCTAGCTTTTCTCCCTTTTTGATGAATTTCCATAAATTTCTAGGTTAATTCTTCCATTAAATCATGTATTTAGGCCATAGAACTCACCTCCAATCACACCCAGTCGAAATCCCCTTCAATTTCCGTCCAAAAGCTCTCAAGGTTGCTCAAAAATGGTGGAAAAATACCTTAGCTCGCGGATGAAATATTAATTTTTAAACCCTTCTGCCCAGACCTTATTTTCGCTTCTGCGATCCAATTACCGCATTTGCGGTTACCGCTTCTGCGGTTTTCCCTCCGCTTCTGCGAAAATTACACTTTCGCTCAGGACCGCTTTTGCGGTCTAAATCCGCTTCTGCGGACACCGCATCTGCGGACTTCTTCCCACTTCAGCGGAACACCCCCAGTGCCCTTATCCGCTTCTGCGGTCCACACGCCGCATCTGTTAAGTCCCTTTACGGATTAAAACAAGCACCCAAACAATGGCATGCTAAATTTGACCAAACAATGTTGTCAAATGGATTTAAAAAAAAATGAATGTGATAAATGTGTGTACATTAGAAATGTTCCAAATCACATAGTCATTGTTTGCTTATATGTGGATGATATGCTCATAATGAGTAATGACATTGCCAACATAAATGCTACTAAGCGTATGCTAACTAGCTAGTTTGATATGAAAGACTTGGGAGTTGCTGATTTAATTCTAGGAATTAAGATCCATAAGACTTCTCAAGGTCTAGCATTGTCACAATCTCATTATATTAAGACAGTACTTGAAAAATTCAAGCACTTGGGCTTTAAAGTTGCAAAGACTCCAATTGATGTGAATCTTGCATTAGCAAAGACAAAGGCCAGAGCATATCACAATTGGATTATGCTCGTGTGTTGGGTTGCTTAATGTACATCATGAATTGTACACGACCAGATATAGCTTGTGCTATAAGTAAATTGAGTCGATATACGAGCAATCCAGGCCAATCTCATTGGATGGCCATGAAACGAGTTTTGGGGTATTTAGTACATACCCAGGACTTTGCTTTGCACTACAATAAATATCCTGCGGTCATTGAGGGATACTGTGATGCAAATTGGATCACCGGATCAACTGATTCCAAGTCCACAAGTGGATATGTATTCACTATTGGTGGAGGAGCGGTATCTTGGAAGTCATCCAAACAAACTTGTATTGCCCGCTCTACAATGGAGGCTGAGTTCATAGCCTTGGATAAAGCCGGTGAAGAAGCTGAATGGCTCCGAAATTTCTTGGAAGATATTCCATTTTGGCCCAAACCGTTGGCACCAATATGCATACATTGTGATAGTCAAGCGGCAATTGGAAGGGCTGGGAGCGTTATGTATAACGGTAAGTCTCGCCATATACGACGAAGACATAAAACCGTTAGACAATTACTCTCTAGAGGAATTATCACGATTGACTATGTAAAGTCAAGTGATAATGTGTCGGATCCACTTACAAAAGGCCTAACTAGAGAGGTAGTTGAGAAGTCATCAAGGGGAATGGGACTGTGGCCGAGAACAAGTCATAGTGGCGGTAACTCTACCTAGAAGACTCGAGATCCCAAGATCTAGGTTCAAGGAGATCAAACAAAGTCATTTATGACGGTTCAACATTGTCAACTAAACTTTTGGTCCATTCTCGTGATGAGACAATGTTCAGTACCAAGGATAAAGCATTAAGGCTTTTTAATGATTTCTAAATTTGATACGGGGGTATATCAAATAGTGTATCTACGGGATGACACGTTTAGGAATCACCTATGTAAGTGTGAAGTGTTAGCCGCTTCAAGGAGAACATTGTAAGGCCAGTTCTCTACGCGCTTATGAAACCAGGCGGTGTTCATGGCTGAAACGAACACAACAATGAGAACCAAAGACGGTTAAGGGTTGGTTGTGTGACTTGTGGTTGTCTAGGTATACACTAAAGTTAGACGGTTCAAAAATATCAAATCTACCGATTGATCGAGTATATCCGACATAAGTTCACTACGGAAAGTTCAAAGGGAAACCTACTTATCCAGATGCAATTAATCCTTACTTGCGAATCACACAGTTTTTCATGCATACTTCCGTGATATAGCCATTCCCCATTCATGTGGGGGATTGATGCGTTTTGGATGTATTTAATTAATATATTAAATACTTAAAAGAGGGTGAATGGGAAATGGAGGGAAATGAAATTTTTGAGTGAAATTTTAAGTTCCCCCTTGGCACATGGGCATTGTCCCATACTGGAAGAGGAATGGATTTTTTATAGGTATATAAGCAATTGCTCTTCTTCTAGCTCTTAAAGAGTTGAGAAGAAGGCAAGCCTCGTGCCGTCGTCGTCGTCGCTCGCTCGGCTCGGCTCGGCTTCGGCTTCGGCTACGGCTACGGTACGGATTCGGATTCGGATTCGAATTTGGATTTGAATTTGGTCAAATGATCGATTGATTGATTAACTTTTTGGACCAAATTTATTTGTTAATAGTAGAATATTAACAGAAATGTTATTAAATATTTGTTTTAATAACAGAATATTAATATTAAATATTAATATTAAATCCAATCCGTTTTTCTGTTTTGGTAACAGAAAAGTAACTACCCTCTTCAATTTTTCCTCTTTATTTTTCCTCTTTATTGTTGAGTAAATGGCCATTTATGTAATGACATTTATGTTGTGGGCGTTTTGCATAAACAGCCATTCTGAAGAGTTGCACCTCTTCAAATTTCAGCGCAACTTTGGCTATAAATACAACACTATTCTACTCAGAATTTCACTACGATTTTCTGAGTTTCTTCTCCTTCTTCTGCATACTTTTAGCATCAAACAAAGCAAAAAAGTAAGTGTGATTTGCTACCGAATTTTGTATTCGCTGAAACGCTGGGGTTTGAAGTACCACTACACCAGTGTATAATTCGTTTTATCCTGGGAGAAAATAATCCATAACCTTGGGTACTAGGAGGGGATTAAATTCCTTAAGGTAACACTGTGAATTCAGTGGGCTCGAATTGGTTTTCTGACATTTTCGTTTATGTTCATTTCTGTTTATATTCATTTATATTTCCAAAATTATTTTTACAAATACAGTATACTAATAGTTTGTTATAGAGTCTTTAAGTGCCCTAATTGTATTAATTTATTTTGAGCAAAAAGTCCATAAAACTTAAATGTCTTACTAAAATAATAGACTAGTCGTTGTCTAACTGTGTTTGTTGCAAGTAATTGAAACAGAAGTCTATTAATGATTCACAGGACTTAGATGAATATTGATTACTTTAGGCATCCTTCATTAAGGGTAACTATAATATTGTCCCCTAGTATTGCCACGGATCTTTCAATTCTGAAATGGAAATACACCAAACTTGCTGTCCTTAATGCCCATACCAACATACATTTGGTGCACATAAGCCCGAATTTCGTTCATTCATGACTCGTTAACTTTGCACTGTTGCTTCCTCGCCCAATAAATATGACTTAGGTCGTAAACTAACAGTTTAAAAAAACTTGTTGCATTACAAAATAATGTAACATTTGATAGCGGATCAGTTACTTTTTTTAACCGTGTTACCAATTAATATTTAACATAGGGGTCGCAATTGGGCGGGTCGGGTCGAATATGGGTGGGTCAAAATAGATAATGTAAAAAACGGATAAAATATTTAAGCCTCTCATATTTAATACAGATAAAAAATGAGTTAACCGGTGAATAATGGCTTTTTGAATGTGATCACTTTTGAGAGGATTTCTAATCTCCCAAATTTGAGAAACCCACAATTTGAGTCTATGCAAATGTAAAAGTTAAATCCTTAAGTATCCATTTTTAAGTGGATAATATGAATCTTATCCATATTTGACCTGTTTTTAAGAAATTCATTATCCAACCTATTTTTTAGTGGATAATATGGATGGATATTTTTTTAATCCACTTTGCTGCCACTAGGTAATACAAAGAACTTGTACTTAATTACCTTACAAGTACGCTCATTGCGTAAATATTATAAATTATTCTTTAATGCAAAGCACCCAAAACTCGAAAAGCAAGGACAAGATGTAGGAAGATGGGAGTAAGAAATTGGTTGGCTGGGAACTCTACCATTTTATCTAACCGACGTCACCACAATATATCTAGTGGTAGAACGATACTGAACTCAAACGCTACGATCAAATCCAATCATGTCGTCCTTTTCTAACAGTTATGTTTAAAGTCGTCAATTCCATGATATTTTGGAACTAAAGCTCCCCAAATATGTAAGCTATTGAATGCTTCCTACTAATTTATAGTATTATACTAATATCAACCACTAATGATGGAGTTGGGGGGGGTGGGAGGTGGAAGGACGAAATCTTGTTTTCTATACTACCTCCGGTCCAAAATAAGTAATTTTTTGGATGTTTTACACAGATTAAGAAATCCACCTTTTAACATTAATTAGCAATGGAATTGACCATATTAACCTTTACTATCTCACATAAACACTCCTAACACATATTCCAACACTATTTACTCCAAGGACAATGTAGGAAAAAAATAATTAATTCATTCTTGAAATCTGAAAAATCACTTATTTTGGGTCACAAGAAAAAGGCCAAATTATCACTTATTTTGAACCGGAGAGAGTATTTCTTTTTCTCGATTTTGGGTTGAGGGTATTGGGAAGGAGATGGTGACAAGTTTCTTTAATACTGTCTGGTAAACTCAATGGTTGCTTGGTGAAGACAGAAATAAATAGACAACTTCAGGAACTCTGCATATCTACTTCAGCATTAGCAACACTACATGACTAAGATTTTCTTAGAAGGCTAACAAGGGCTCTTTTTGTGAAGACCAAGTAATAATTGAAGTAAACGCTGATACTTAGCCGTATATAATATGAATTAGCATTATGTTATTTCCACAAGTGATGATTGCTATGTACAAACTCAAAGATCAAATATAGTATGTTTCATTTCCTTCCTCGTGAACCAATTTTTGCTTCATAAAGTTCTCAGTTTTTCAACTGTTTTTCACAAACCAAAAGGCTACTCTTTCAGCTTATTTTACTAATAAAAACACTGCCTTAAATGTTGTAACTCATTTTTAACAAACGTTATTACAGCTCACTTCTGAAAGGATAACATAGATGTGCTATGAATTGGAAGGAAATAGGAGGAATATCACAATATTGCCTGTCAATGGAATCACATGATTATACACATTATACCTGGATTATACATATATTATACAGCTGTCAGCTACTTTTAGTTATAGCAATTGGATGGGCGACTATTTAAGTTAATATGTAAATTGCATTCAAATTTAATATCAATATTTTGAAGAGATATTTTACCTGTTCCAAGACGACAGAGAGAGGTTCTAGAGACAATTTGTAATTTGCCAATCAATTCACATAACAGGATCAAATCACATCATAGAATCTGCAAGTCCCGAGAAAAAATAACTCCTAAATATCAGCTAAGTATACACGATATGAACTTTCATATCGAGACTACAGAAATCAAGAACCAGCACCATATACAAGAATGAACTAGAAACCATGCTTCCAATCTCCATAACAAGACACCATACAAGACCGGGAAAAATTTCAAGATACTTGCACTCGAAAAGAGTACTACTACTGTCCCAGAACTGTTCTTGCTAGATACAAAAGTGGTTCTTAAGCACGAACAGCAAATACAATGCCAAATATGTTAACGAATGTGGCACACACCTAGAATCAGCAGAAGCTGTAGTAATTACCTCCAAATGACTTCCCCTACCAACCATAAGTTATATCCATTGGACCATCTGCTACGGCAACGTAGGAGAAACAGAAGTTTCTCTGATAAATGCATGGAGCATATGTTCCGGAACTCATGCTCCATGTAATTCAGATGATTATAGTGGAACCCAGCAGTGCATAGTGATAGGAAACTTTACACGCCAAAGTTGCTCCAACAATTTGTGCAGAACAAAAATTTACTAACTGGATTTTATAGTAATATATAGCTCTGCGCCTTCAAGATTGACTGACATAGAGTACTGGGACAAGGCCAGCCATTTTCCCATCTCTGCCAGGACGTTTTTTCTTGACCTGAAACAAGTGTGCACCATATGTCACCAAATAATCATCGGATATAACACTTTCTACATAGTTCCTTCTTCCCTAAAAGGCAAAGAGAACATAGTAAAAGGAATTCTAGGGAAAGAGTGCAGAGTCAACTTTCACAGTAAACCCAGTAAAAACATGGTTGAACTAAGTAATCAGATAATCTTTATCAAAGGAATCTTTCCAAGAACATGCATATTACACATTCAAGCTGCCATCAGAGCCTCCTTGAATTTACTCGGTGAAATGCTTAAGAAAGAACAAACAACTATGGTTCAGGGGTACCAGTTGGTCAGTGAAATTCTCCACAAAACTTTTTCTTTAAAAGAAATTTATTACTCCCTCCTTCCGACTTGTTTTGCATTGATTGACTAGACAAGGAGGTTAAGAAATAGACTTTTGACACAAACGAAATATGCATAGATTAGTGAAAGTACTCTTGTACGAAACAATTTGTTTTTAAGTCCAGTGGTGCTCACAACAAGTCATGTCAATGGCATGGTGGAAATGTAAAAATAACCGAGCTTTAAATACAGAAAAGCGCCTAGGGATAGACAAAAAAGGATAGGATTCCAAAAATATTGAAATGGAGCGAATAATAGGAAATAGTGGGAGGGGAAGAAGGATTACATGATTGGATTCAAACCTTCCCACCTGTTAAATTATCTTTCGATTGATAATAGAGGAAGACTGCAGAGGATATGGAGCCTACCTTGTAGTTTAAATTTATAGACCTGATACTATTTAGCAAAATCACCTTAACTTTAACCACTCCCTTTAGTTATCAGACATGTAAAATATAAACATAAGCTCTAAGAGATCAAAGTATTACATATCTTTTTTTTGTTAAAAAGTATCATAGTTTTAGATATGTAGCACAGCATTCTCAACAAAGGACGACATAATCAATATGTGAGAGACAAATAATACAACTTCGGTGATCAGGAGAAGATTAATGCAGTGACTTAGTTATCACATTACTAGTTATAAAGCAACAGTTATATACCTCCATACATATTAGGATTTAACATTCATTGCCAAAAAATAAAGAGTATGGGAGATTGGAAATAAAGAGAGACAAAGTGGAAATAACTACCCATTTGATAAAGTGACAATTACAATTCTTACTTCTCTTAAATAAATAAAAAATACTTCTCTTGCTTTTGGGGTATCACACGAAGTAAAATGGGACAGGTGTTACACCAGCCCTGTTCTTCCTTAACCAGTATTACAGATACTCCACACAAAGGTTTTTTGGTTAGAAAGAATAGAGTATGATTGGTCTGGATCAGTGTCACACTTCAAGGAAGATATCTGGTCTAAAGTATCTTCCCCATTTAAAGAAAATGGATAGTGTACATATGAATGAATACTAAGATACAAGTAAGCTGAGTCAGATTAGATGCATGATTAGCAATGAAGAGTGGCTCTACAAAACATTCCATGGGAATTACTTACATAGAACCAGCCATCTACTTCATACTCAATTTCCACTTCTTCCCCCGCTGTCAAATTTAGCTGCAGATTAGAAAATTGAAAACTTAATTAACCTTTGCACCTCCAGTAAGCCATTAAGAACTAAGATACATTTGGGTAAAATTTGGACATAATTCACAATGTCAAAACCAGAGTGCAAGGTGTTAAATGGGACAATTTTGTAGCAAGCAAGAACAATATATATGGTATCTTCATCCCCGCCACACATACTACTACAAGGGATTACTAGATCATTAACCAGTCTTTCCGGGGAGAAAATATAGTACTCACTAATAGGCCTACCTCATCATCTCCACCAGCAGTGAAGTCGTAAAGTGCTGTACCAGACTGTGGGTTGCCTGAAGAGACTCGCTCTTCTTCATGGGATCCAAAACTGTGAGAACCAGAGCTAGCCAAAGGATTCTCAAACGACTCGTATCTTTCTCTAGTAGGTGATGAATATGGTGGAGGCTCTTCTCTTATCTGCAAATTCTTTCAATAAAAGACTTGCATCTCACATGACAAAAGACATGAAATTGACTAGCTAGGAGGCCTTACCGGGGATCCCAGGCCATCGTATGAGGAGCCACTATAGGAATTATTCTTATATCGGCTCCCACCAGATTTCCCCTGTCATAGGCAACAATGACCCATTTTACATACTAATACAGGCAGAAAAGAAAGGAACCCGAAATGAAACACAACGATTGAACCGCTGCTCCGCACTAGAAGCAATGCAATTCGAGTATCACGGAATTTTTCTTTCTTTTTCAAGGTATCAAGGAGAAAATATGGCTTGTAACACGGAAGACTTCATTAAAAAACATTTTAAGTCAGTTTCAACCTCATAGTAGAGTGCATTCCTAGTTATATGTGTTACTTGAGACTACACTCAGATATAAACAAGGGTATTGAAACAATTAATAGAACTTCCATTCTGATCCAGATTTTTCACCACTAACTAGAGTAATTATCTCATTTCATAACACAGTTTAAGCAACTTCGCTAATCATGTATACTCGAATGTGTTGACCAGGTCCCCTGATCCTCACAGACTTATTGTCATTGTAATAAGAGACAAAACATCAGAATTCAGCAATTGCATTTAGTTTGGTAACTAAGACTGAACCAACCTCACTACACAAGTTTACCAGGTTTACCAATATGGTATAGATCAGTATTTTCCCATGAGGAAGGAGATTGATACACTTGATCAAAAGCAGAATATGGCAATTTAGTTATTTACGTTCTCAAGAAAATTTTAAGGAAGCTGAGCTGCTCTCAGTACAGTGGTTAAGCAAGTGTTCAAACAGTGGTAATAAAGAGATTCGAAGTTCAAGCAGAAATGATAGCTAAAAGTAGGTGCAAATGGTACGCAAGGAATAATGCTCCCAGGCACAGTTCCCTAGGTCACTCTCTCTCCTACTTCCTAGGAGTGTAGAGGAACTTTCCGGCGTCCGTGACGGAATAACAATTTCTTTCCTGAGGTTCAGTGATCACCTTCTGTGTTCATTGATTAAATTACATTTTATTTCCACAAATTAGTCTTAGTGCCTTATTCATTCAGAATTCCGAACAATGAAGGAAAACATCATATACTTTGCAGTGGGGTTCAAATCATATGAGATAGAGAGATGCACAACCAATGCTGAGGAATGGTTTGAATGGACAGAACGTGGAAGGAACCTAATTAGAAGGACTACATTTAGCAGGAAGACGATGATTTGGTTATGCGAAAACATGAAAGATGCTTCAAAGGTGAAAGGGAATTATGTGAAAAGATGGAAAAGCAAAGATCAATTCTCAGAGACATTTTGTGCAAAGAACTTTAACAGTTATGGTCGTTATATATCCATCATTAGAGTCATACGCAGGGGAAGATCTGTTATAATTGTCCCAGAGGCGGCTTTCAATTCAGGTTGGCTAGATATTGCAATGAAGATAGAAAGGTTCATTAAATTTGGGGGGGGGGGGGGGGGCAAGGAGGAATGTCTTTAATGCTTATAAGGAGGTGGAAGAAGGACTCCAGTACTCTAGCATTGTCAGGAGTCATAAATGGGTAGGTAGAGAAATGAATGAAGCAAGAGTTAATGAAAATAAAGTCATCATTTGTATAACTGGAAATCATAAGCACAATGAATTGCTAGGTAGGTGTTTGGTGAATTTCTTCCCAGAAGAAAGTTCAGAAATGGTGACCCTGTCGGAAATCCGAAAATGGGTCTCGAATTCTTGGAAGCAAACAAAGGACATCAACATCTATGAGATGGACCAGCACAGGTTCCTTTTTGAGTTCCCATCGAAAGCAACAGCAGATCATGTTCTAAGAACAGACTGGTACTGGAAGAAACTCAAAGTAAAGCTCCAATGGTGGTGTCCAACAGTGGGGACAATCCCAACAACTGAAAACGTAATACATGCATGGATCAGGATTGTAGGGCTTCCTCCTCACCTTTGGTCTCAAAAAGTCTTCAGAGAAACTGGAGAATTTTGCGGTGGTTGGGTGGAAACAGAGGAGGAAACGGAACTAAAAAACCATCTGAAATGGGCTAGGATAAAAGTTAAAGGAGATGGATCTACAATTCCTAGGACGGTGAACGTGGAATCGGAAGGAGTGGTCTTCGAAATGCAGATCTGGTGTGAATCGCCGGCGAGATCCACTGTCGGTCAGAATGGAGAGGATAAAGTCTTGGACCAGCGGGTAATAAAGGGCTCTCAATATACAGAGGGAGGGGCTCGAGGTGATAAAGCACTGATGGGACACGTGGTTAATTCAAATCAGGCTAAACCTAGTACCTCACGTGACTTGTCACGTGACAACTTAAACTCTTATAACCAGGCCAGCCAATCTTATATCACAAAGGAAATGGGCCCTGATTCCTTGGCCCAAACCATTTCTGAAGAGAAGGCTTTTAATAAGCCCACTTTAAGGACCAGAACTGACCCCTTTAATGAAGAATTAAAAGCCCTTCAATTCAAGTCTTTAAGGGGAGTCCATACAACAGACTTGGCGGAGAATCATGGAGTCGACAGAAACAATAACAGAACAGAAGAAGAAGAGCAAGAAAAGAGGAATGAAGGCGATGAAGAAGGAAGGAAACAAATGATACTGTTCGAAGACAATGGAACAGTAACTAAGGCAGTGAACGAAAGAACAGGAGAAGATCTAGAGGTGGTGAATAGCATGCACATGCAAGCAGCAGTATCAGACAGGAGTGTTGATTGGGCAATTGAAGAAGCAGTTCCTCTAAACCAACAAAATTTAGAATCAGAAGAAGACCTGGAGTTTGAAGCATCAATTTGGGTGCATCAGAACATCATCAAACTCAGCAAAGAATTTGGGCTGGTCTTTAATGGCTGTGAGAGAGAAGCTCTGGAACTGTTCATGAAGATTGACAATAGAAGACCAGCAAACAAAGGGAAAGAAGTGACACAAATGAACCAGACTCCGAAGAAAAAGGGATTCAAAGAACTAAAAGGCCTGGAAATTGGAAGCAATTTCAAGAGCAATGGTACTAGAAGTAGGAGGGGGGGGGGGGGGGGGGGGGGGGATGCACATCAAGCAAAATCAATGTTAGTAAATATATTATCATGGAATGTGAGGGGGTTAAATAGAGCAAGGAAAAGGAGAGTTGTCAAAAGTTTGTTACTAAGGTGGAAAGCAGATATAGTCTGTTTTCAAGAATCTAAAATAGAGGGGGATATTAGGGAGATAGTTAGAGAGTTATGGGGTCACAGATGGGTAAAATATACTCAACTAGAGGCTAGTGGGACTAGAGGGAGAATTGTAATAATGTGGGATGGTAGAGCTTGGAAGGGGGAAGTATGTGGTGTGGGTGCTCACACACTTACTTGTAAATTTTCAGGGAAGACTCAGGATTATACATGGCATCTATTAGTTGTGTATGCTCCAAATGATAGAAGAAGAAGGGAAGAAGTGTGGTGGGAGTTGGCAGGGGTAAGAGGTCTATTTACAGGACCATGGGTGGTGTGTGGGGACTTCAATACTGTGAGATTCCCATCTGAGAAGAAGAACTGCTCTAGAATCACAAGAGCAATGATGGAGTTTTCAAATTTTATTGAAGAAATGGAACTACTAGATATTCAGTTAGCAGGGGGTGAATACACATGGAGGAAAGGGGATAGACATGTAACATCAGCTAGATTGGATAGATTTTTTATATCAGCTGACTGGAATGAAGACTTTAGGAACATAAAGCAGCAAGTGATGCTGAAGGTAAAGTCAGACCATTCCCCATTGATGCTCAAATGTGGTAGCTGGGAACCAGTTAAATCATACTTCAAGTTTAAAAACTGGTGGCTTCAGACTGAGGGATTTAAAGATAGAATTGAAGAATGGTGGAACTCCTTCAACTGTGAAGGAAGGCCAGACTACATACTAGTATCTAAACTCCAAGCACGGAAGAACAAGCTCAAGGAATGGAGTAAAACTTTGCAAGGCACCTAGCTCTACAGAAGGCAAGTGTTCTCAGCCAACTGGCAGAATTGGAAGAAATTCATGAACAAAGGATCCTGACTGAAGAAGAGATACTCTCAAAAAACTCTTTAACCGTGGAGTTTGAGGAGATTGCTAATCATGAAGAAGAGGCATGGAGGCAGAGATCCGGGGCTCTATGGTTGAAAGAGGGTGATAGGAATACCAAGTTTTTCCACAGAACAGCTAATGCCCACAGGAGATACAATAACATAGACCAATTGTTGATAGAAGGGGAGACTATGCAGAACCCAGAAGACATCAAGAGGGAGGTTGTCAGATTCTACAAAAAGTTGTACAAAGAAGAAGAAGAGTGGAGACCAGTAGGACCCAACAGAATCAACCAAATGATTACAGCAGAGGACAATTTAATGCTGCAGAGTACATTTGAAGAGCAGGAAATATGGGACAGTGTTAAGGCATGTGCAGGAGACAAGGCACCAGGACCAGATGGATTCTCAATGGCCTTCTTCAACAATTGCTGGGATGTGGTAAAAAAGGAAGTTGTAGCAGCAATCCAGAACTTCTATGATCAAGGAGTCTTTGAAAAGAGCATGAATGCTACATTTGTGGCATTGATTCCTAAGAAGGTGGGGGCAAAGGAACTAAAAGACTTTAGACCCATAAGTTTGATTGGAAGCATATATAAGATTATATCCAAGCTATTGACTGAGAGACTCAAGAAGGTGGCCAACAAGCTGGTGGATTCTCGACAAATGGCATTCATAAGAGGAAGACAGATTATGGATGCTGTTTTAATAGCTAATGAGTGCATAGATACAGGAACAACAAGCAAAGAACCAGGGATCCTATGTAAGCTGGATATTGAGAAGGCATATGATCATTTCAATTGGAAGTACCTTCTTGACATTCTAAGGAGGATGGGTTTTGGAGGGAGGTGGATCAGCTGGATAAAATTTTGCATATCCACTGTAAGCTTCTCAGTTCTAACCCCAGTTGGATTTTTTCCTTCACAGAGGGGGCTAAGGCAAGGGGATCCTCTCTCCCCTTTTCTATTTATCATAGCCATGGAGGGGCTGAATGATATGCTGAAAACAGCCCAGGTAAACAGTTGGATCAGGGGATTCAAAATGAGCACTAGAAATGACAGCAACAGAAGGATTTCTCATTTACAATATGCAGATGACACTTTAGTCTTCTGTGAAGCAGAAAGGGAGCAAGTGAAAGTTCTAAGGGTGATATTCATTCTCTTTGAAGCCACATCTGGGTTGCACATTAACTGGCAAAAAAGCTTCATTTACCCAGTTAATGAGGTTATGGAGTTACAGAATCTGGCCAATGTTCTTGGGGGGAAGGTAGGGAAATTGCCTACAGTACATCTGGGGATGCCATTGGGTGCCAAGAGCAAATCAAAAGGAATATGGAATGATGTATTGGAGAAATGTGAAAGGAAACTAGCTAACTGGAAGAATCAATACCTGTCAATGGGGGGAAGGTTGATCTTGATTAAATCAGTACTTGATGCCATGCCTACATATATGATGTCATTATTTCCAATGCCAGCCAGTGTAGTGAACAGAACTGATGCCCTAAGAAGAAACTCCTATGGGAAGGCAACTGTGAGAAAAAGAAGTACCACTTGGTCAAATGGGGTGACTTAATTACAAGCAAGAAGTCAGGTGGTTTAGGGATCAAGAATTTGATAGTCCAGAATCAGAGCTTGATGATGAAGTGGCTGTGGAAGTTTGCAGCAGCTGAACAAACATTGTGGACAGAAGTGGTTAGGGAAAAATATGAAATGGAAGGAAACTGGACAACCAAAACTGTAAGAAGGCCATATGGAGTCAGTCTGTGGAGATCAATTAGAAACCTATGGCCAAAATTGATCAACAAAGCAAAATTCAGAGTTGGAAATGGTAGGAAGATCTCATTATGGGAGGACAACTGGTTAGGACAAGGACCTCTAAAGGGGCTCTTTCCTGACATTTATACTTTGTGTCAACAACAGAATGCAACAATAGAAGAGGTATGGACAGACCAAGGCTAGGCTGGAATCTCACATTCAGAAGGATGTTAAATGACTGGGAGATTGACAGAGTTGCGGAGTTCTACAGTTCTTTGCAGCAGTTCAATGGTGTCAACTCAAACCAAGATCAAGACCTAATCAAGTGGCAAGGCAATAGTCAAGGGAAGTTTTCTGTTAAGGCTGCCTACAAGGAGTTTAATGTATCCAATAATCAGGTGGATTGCTGGCCATGGAAGATGATTTGGAAAGTTAAAATCCCATACAAGGTGGCATGCTTCACATGGTTACTGGCAAGAGAAGCAGTTCTAACACACGACAATTTAACTAGAAGAGGATTCCAATTGTGTTCCAAATGCTACTTATGTTGCGAGAAGGCAGAGACATTAACCATCTTTTTCTGCATTGCAAGTTCACTATCCAAATATGGAGAATTTTCATCAGTTTGAGGGGAATTCAATGGGCAATGCCAGGAAGAGTCCTTGATATTCTAGCCAGCTGGAGTAAGGAGGGCACACTATCTAGTGAAAGAGAGAGATGGAAAATTGTCCCAGCCTGCATATGGTGGAGAGTTTGGGAAGAGAGGAATCAAAGATGTTTTGAAGATAAGTCTAGCAATATTCAGAAGATAAAGATGAAATGTTTAGTTCTTTTCTATTTTTGGTGTAAAGGTAAGTTTTTGGAGGATCATGAATCCATTTTAGACGTACTATAGTCCTTATAAGAAGACCAAGGACTAGAAGTGGTTTTACTTTTTTTGCTAGGGCACTTTCATTGTAATTATGGGCGACTTCACAATTTTAGTGAAGTTTTTATATTAATATACAATATGTTAACTTCTCAAAAAAAAAAAAAATTGTACGCAAGGAATGAAAGGATGCAGTGACTTCAATTATCGCATTACATGATGAAACACAAAATTATCCATTATCTTCACCTAACACCACCCTTTTAGAACATTGTTTGGATGGAAAGAGTGGATCTGTCCCCCCTGATATAAAGCAAAGTCAGTCTTAAATACTAAAAAAGCATGCTTTGCAATGTAAACAATCAAGGTTGGTTGGATTTCTAAGTGCTGTCTTTTGGAACAAAATAGACTAAAAACTCAAATTTTCTGATCTTTTCCCTCAATTAAAATGTTTACTATCACCAGAGAATGGTTCCCAAATGATGTAAACAGTGAGAAGTTCGGATATGTCATTCTTAAACCTAGAGGTATTCAAAACTCCCTGCAGCGTTACATAATATCTGGTTCTATTTGTTAAGTCTCCAATCCTAAGTTAAAACATTCTTGCCTTTTAATTCTGATGTATCCTGTTTTCCACTTGAAGATTACTTAACAAACAAAATAAGAAAGTGAATCCAGACATATCGCATCCATCCCTTGATGCTTTCCTCATTTTAAATCATGAGAGAGAGACCAAAGTTCTGCAGTCTCAGCAAGGTAACTTTCTATAGTGATCCAAAAGCAGGTTGAACACAAGCAACTTTGGTGCTTCTACATAAAACATTTTAGCTACATTTATACAAACAATACACCTGTCATAATTAATGGTTAGCACAAGATTCTATCTATATTTCTCAATAGATGACAATATAAAAGCAGTTGAAAAAGAAAAAGAAAAATAGAAGTACAGCAGGATGTCAATAAACGTCAAGCTTTTCCAAAATATACCAGTGGGCTCCCATTTTCTTAGGAAGATTTTACCGTTTGGCACGTGAAGCTTAATAGAACATAAGCCAATTGATAAATACTTTATCTTTTGTGTGTTGGGGAGGCGGGAGTTTTGGGGGTGGAATAAGGGAATGAATATGACAGGAACTGTGAACATACATATGCTACAAACATGAATGGCAAATCGGTGAGAGCAACATAATCCTGGACAAATACAGATACCTCTATCTATGAGGTTTAGGTTTATGCATAATCATAAAGGCGGTTGTCTCTAGGGTTGTATACCATTACATAACAGAGGTCAAGTACATCATTAAACAATATGGTTCTTCATCAAATGTCAAATTTCCAGGCAAATGTTTCTTCATTTGGGATAAGCTAAATGAGAAAAAAATTAACTGGATATAGTCGTCCACATCAGCAGCTATAATATGAAGCTCCTTCAAGCATACCATAATTATTCTCAATGCATTGAATTTAAAGCAAATTTTAAATGCTAACTACCTACCTTGGATTGTGAAGTCCCATAAGTAGATGGCTTAGAACTGAATAACGATGGATAGTTCATTCCACCAAAGTGCGATGATATGGATGTCTCAACTGACCCTACTGAGTCTGGGGAGGAAGATCCTGATGATCGTCCATCGTCTTCCTGCAGCCGCCAGTTGTATATATTTAATCATTTGCACCATGTTGGAGTAAAAGAAAGCAGCATAGATTCAAGAATTACTACCTCCATTTCCGAAGATTCTAGGAGAGTCTTTGCCCACATATCATCATAACTCATGGAGGGTCTAGAAATAATGTTCTCCTCCTCAACATCAGGAGCATCAGTACCAGCACCAGCAAGAAACTCATTAACCTAGGGATGAAATAACTCCTTAAAAAGCATGAAAAAATTGGTACAGCAGCGGTTAATCTATTTAACGGTATATAATGCTACACTATGTTTCTGCACTAAACAGATAGATAGTTTTACATCAAACAAATTCAGATACAATTCAATACATACTTGAGACACATATAGAGAACACATTTTCGAAAATAATGCAAATGAAACCGAGACAGTAAAAAGCATGTTCGCTATCCAACATGTTCTCCTGGCTATCCAACGTGTTGTGTCAACTCTATGTACACAGCAACATTTTATAAGTTGTCCAAGGTACATACGACATAGAATAAAGAAGTTGCATGCAATTTACTTTTGTTTTATTCAGTAAGATATACAATTTGACCACCAGAACAGAAAGGTGACGGTGTCAGTTTTCAGGTTTGATACATCACTCAAATACTTACCCTGTTAATTGCAGGTGCATTATTTAAGCTATCATCACCCAGATTTGCAGCCCAGAAGTTCACAAGGTCGTCATCAATTGTTTCAGGCTCAGCAGCTTGTGCTTTGGTAGTTTCATACATAAGATCGGAGATACCTGTGGCTACAGCAGGATCGCTGAGTCCAGTTGACGCACTTATATTATGCCGAGTGCGGTAGACATCGATTAGCTTTGCGCTGTTCAATATAAATAACTTTATTCAATACACTACATTATAGAAAACTTAAAGAGTCTAAGCACACTAACCATCACATTAGCACGTATAAGATGAAAAATACTGGTGAAGATCTGGACAAAGACAACGCAACACCAAAAAATGGGAATAATTGGGTGAAATGCTAGGACAGCTGGGTTTAAAACCTATTGGAGATCATGATTAAATATCTTGTCTTTTATTACTAAGCCTTCAGTTTCCATGTTACTTTTGCTAACTGCTCTAGCCAAGAGTCAGTTGGTATGATGTCCATTTCCCCATTAAGTTAAAAAATCAGAAGTATGTGTAGGGCAGTTTCAGAAAGCCCACCGAAATTAGATGACTATGAATTATCAAGTGGTTTTAAGGACTCATGTCTTGCCATTGTGAAGTCATATCCCCAAAGATTTGCAAGTTCTAAGAGAAACTTTACTTTTCCTTGCAAGAATGCTAAGGCTCCAACATTGTTGTCAGGAACAGAAGGCAACTAAGGTAGCAAGGTTGCTCCAAGTTTGTCTAATGATATATTTCTTTTAAGATTATCTTTACCCCCCGACAAACTGANCTTCTGTGGTCACACGTCCCATGCACGCATTTTACAACCTCGATGTTCGTTCAGTAAACACCATGCATTTTCTTAAATCTAATTACTGGTATTTGACTATAACCTATATAATAATGTGTTCTAGAATTTAGAATTTGGTTCCTTTACTTAATACATGTAAATATTCTATCATGCAAGATAATTAAATGCATTTCTGACATTTGAGTTTTAATCAATTTTGATATATCCACAACTTCTACAATTACATCTATTTTAAATTTTATTTCATTTTTACGCCCCGTGTCATGGAACTAATGTCCCATCCCATGAGAGATAAAATGTGCAGACCTTCGTCTCCACTTCCTAAAACACTGTTAGCAAGTGAATTGATGTTGTCTGAACAGAAGAACAAGATGAACTGTATATTTTTTTGTTTCACTTTTGGTGTAAATAAGCTCTCGTAGAAGATGTAGAGTCTATAGTGGACATCATTGGGGCCTTGTAACTACCACAAGACTAGGTTTTTGTTGTAGAGTCTATAGTGGACATCATTGGGGCCTTGTAACTACCACAAGACTAGGTTTTTGTTTTTTTGGGGGGTCGTTGTAACTTTCTGTAATCTCTTAACACAATCTTTGTGATAAGGGTTAACTTTATCTTAATATAAAATATGTTACCTTCTCAAAAAAAAAAAAAGTGAATTGATGTTGTCGCCCTCTCACTTCTACATGAAACTAACGAAAATTCATTTCTTGTATGCTCAAACAACAATGCCAAGGTGAACTTAAGAATAACGTACCTCGTTGGCCCTAAAGGAAGATACTTTGATCTTGGAACATAACAAAACAGAGAAACGATATCCAAGAGCCTCTCATGAGTTTCATACAATTTCTTTAGCTCCTCGTCAGTCCATTCTTTTTTTGCATTATCATGGTTACGCATCTCTCTACATATTCAAGCAGAGTGTTAACAAGGGACTACGTGTCACACCTTACAAATGGTTAATTAGTGCTCAGATGAGCCAGAAAATAGTCTTACACTTACTTTATCAATTCATCCTGCGCAGAATACATTTCATCAAGGACCTTCAACATAGGGCTGATTAAAGATCCAAGGCCAGTGCCACTGGCTCCCTGGTCCTCTCCATTGCTAATATGCATGTCTGAGAACTGAGACTGTACACCACCCTGGGCTAAGGCATGTAAAAATTCATAGATCTGTAACCTATAAGGCTCACCAGATCGAATTGCAATAGTTGTAAGAGCCTGGGCAGCAATTATGCGAACCTGAAATTTAAAAGTAGTAAGAAGGAAACCACGGAACACTTAATAATATACATTTTTTAAATATAAACACTCAATGATGTATATTGACAATAGCAAGAAGAATTTTAGTTGGATTACAACTAGAACTTACATATACTCATATATTCGTACTATACGTTATCAAGAAATAAAAGATGAGTAAACGCCTCCACCTACTGCAGGAGAAAGAAGGACTGCCACAAGAGGTATTTACGGACGTATATACGGGTTTAGAGCTCCTTCAAGAGGGAAGATAACACTTTTTCAGGGAGACAAGGACTTGAACATTAATTGTAGTGAAATGAACACAATTTTAGGATGGATTTGCTCAAGAACACTGCCAAAAGTGTAAAACACAAAGGCAGCATATATTTTCATAGTCGGCAACAGACACACACACTCCAGCTACTTGCCATTTGTAATATCATAAATAAAGTAAATCTTAATTTTTGCGAGAGCAGTCTGTTTGATCTGGTTATTATTTAGACACTCAACAAATTTTTCTTTGATCATGATTTGTTCAATTATTTCTTTTTTCTAGAAACCATTTTCCATGTACTCTCTAAATCCATAAGTTTATGGTTTACAAAATAAATCATCAATGTTAGACAAGAAGCGATCGACTCAACCCCTGTAAAAAGTTTTGGAGAGGGAGAAATATAGGTTCTCGTACCTTTCATGTTCACAACTAGTAAGCAATTATAACCAATAACCAAATGCATAAATCATGTATGAGATAAATCAAAGCTTGCCAAAAAATTTGTTCGCAAAAGGAATGATTAAAGAGCTTAAAACTTCTACCTCCCAACTACCATTAAAAGCACACCGTTGAAGTCGAGTCAGAGCACCAGAGAGAGTAGGATTACGAGAACTGGCAGCAGCAACCATTTTATCTGCATCTAACATCATCAATGCTGTGCCTGGAGGGGTAGCTGACTCCCAAGCATACTCAGAGGCAGCATAATTTGCATTTTCTCCAAGGAACCAGACCTTCAAGTATGTCATAACCCATTCATTCATAAAAATAAAAGAAGCCATCACAGATACTTGGTTGTTATCTGGTAGCTCAGCTATCAATAAATTAATTTGTAGATGAGATTCTTACTGCTGCTTGGACCATTCTCTGCAATGCCAGGGCTGACTTTGGATCGGAGGCAGATACGCTATCAACTGAGGTAAGTCCAGACATTGAGCCAGGTTGTGGAGGAGGCAAATCCAGAACTATAGTGACTGCTTCCAATGCGGTGTGTTTTCCATCAGGACCAGCTCCAACAAGACAAGTCTATAAATTATATCACCATAGATTAGCATGCATGTTTACTACACAAATGGAAAAACTTAAAATGACAGAAAGGAAACATAGGGAAATGTATGAAATGGAATTTTACAAGGTAAGGCAAAAATGAGAGGTCAAAATTACACAGAGCACTATATCTTAGATCTAACAAGAAAATCAAGTTAATGTAGCAAGATAGAGAAAACAGGATGTGAATTAGCAAACAATGTCAAAGCTCCAATGAAGTTGCTCAACATTCAACTAAGTGGAAGAAAAATTCTGCAAATCATACAGCACTGGCCGATGAAAGTAGCATCCCTGAGAGTACCTACAGATAGATCAATTAGAATGTCCCACTGTAGTTGAGAGAACGGACTGACATTATAACCTACAACCATTACACAACCATGAGGACATGTATTTTCTGACACCCTTCTGCACATGTAACTTTGTCTTAGGATTGCACGTGGATTGAAAAGAAAAAAGCGATTTTTTATTTAAAACACTGAATCTAACACCCCCTGGCCCGCCAAGATTTAGACATCTGGAGCATGGACATAATGACATGAGGACTGAACACTAAGAAAACCAAGAATATGAATGGGTTTGGTTCTAATACCATGTTAAGAAAAAAATGGACCTGGTGCTTAACTCAATCCCGAAAGCTAGTTCACGAGGTCAGGACTGCCAAAAAACCATTTAAGGAGACAACAGCCCATTCCTTAATAAATTACTAAGATGCACAAAAAATGTATTCATGTGAGATGAATAGACTGTTCGCAATCGCACTATTCTTCATTTAAGAATTATTTGTTAAAGAAAGAAATCTGGGAGGACCCAAGATCGTAAATCCACCCTCACTATCTACTTGATCAAGCATATGATGGTAGAAAGAAAAAAGAAAATGATGGTAGAAAGAACATCAGGTTATGAAGTGCAGCCAGATGATAAAAATACTTAATCACACTATGCGTATAAGTATTTACAGATACAGAATTTGCAAAAATTTATCAATTCAATTTTGTCAGATAATGTCCCATTAGGTTGATCGACACTATGCAGGACTTAGGTTGTTAAAAGAATCATCATAATACTCCATTTAGTACACAAAAAGTAGATAAAGCATGTATAAACAGACCATTCTCCGCATTATATGTTATCAACATCTGTCAGTCCATGTGGTAATTAGGGAAACTACAATCTGCTACACATGCAACTTTGGTTTAAACTATTTATTACGAACAGCAAACTCAAATTGGAAACTAATAACTACAGAGAAGCTATAAACATAATCGCCAGCACAAGATTAACTGAAGCATAAATGAGATCAACTTTAAAGAAAGAATAGAAGCATTAATTAAGGAAGAAAAATCAACTTTACATTATGTTATGACAGTGAGCTTACTTTCCATAGCAGTTGTAGCACATCTGCATCTATCTTTCCAGGAACTTTGGTGGCAAAAATTCTTGCTATCTCTAGAAGGGTTACTGCCATATCAGGAGTAGCCTAACAATCACACAGCAAAAGAAAGTAGGGTATGTGAGCTCTAAGGATTATGCCAATTATCAAAGATCTAACGATACAGAATTTTCACACGTCTATTAACCGTAGCATGAAAAAATCGTGAGCCTAAGCTTGCATTCACCCATCTCTGTCTCTTTTATTGGTGTCATGGACACAGATCTCAAGATTAAGATAAAAAGAAATGAATCTTGATTAGGTGAGCATACAAACACTTCAAGCTAAAATGAAGTTACAATAAGGATACTTAACTATAGTTGAATAGCTTGAATCAACTAAAGCTCTCTCAACTATGGCTGGACAAATTAACACCTCTCTACCAACCACAATAGCATAGGAAAACATTACAGGAGAAAATGATCTTACAATTCCACAAAAGAACAATGAACACCTCAATTTACAAAACTTCCAGTGTAGAACAAACACATGTTCTTAAGCATCTTTTATCCAGTTCTTGCATCAAGATTTCTTTATCATGGGACAAAACTATAAACTCATTATCTTTTCACATGGTGGTGAAAAAGAAAAACATTATGATGGAAAAGAAAGGGGTAGAATCTGTATAAACTTTTAAGGATGTCTACATATATCACAAGAAGAAACTAAAAGTACAAAGCTCCAAAAGTGAAACAGAGAATGAATCACTATGTAAAGACAAGATATGTTGAGGATGATCACTTAATTGTTTACCATACAAAACCTAGACAACAATGCAAAGATAATGCCTTTACCCGGCTCTAAGTACCTTGAAACGAGCATGAAGTGTTAACAATATATCATTCACTAACGGTGCTGGCCAAGCTGGGTCTGACAGTTCTGAAGCGATGATGGATTCCAATTCATCAAAAGACTCGTGAGGGCTTTGCATCCATATCAGTGCTTTTATTACCATTGCACGAACATAAACACATTCACATGCAACAGTTGTCCGCACCACCTCCATTAATGATGCCAATAAACTTGCAATCGTGTCCTTGGCACCAGTGGCATTAGATATCGAGGAAACTCGGCGTATGCCTAACCAAGGACAAGAAAATCAAAAAAAAAAAGGAAGAATCAGGAGAGTGACAATTCCGGATCCAACAAAGAGAACAAAAGACCATTGAAGAATTGAGGCCAGACTCCAATTATAATATGAGAGAAAACTGAGTTATTCCAACTAAATAAAGCCAACAAGTAAGCTATTCTTTACAGGACATAAAAGCAGCAGCTCATTCACAAAGAAAAATTACCTTAAGAGATGCAGAATCTATAAGTAAAAATGATGCGGGAAAAGACTGATATAATTAGTAATAGCATAAGAAAAATAATTCAACTTTTTTGAGAAAGGTAACAATATTACATATCTTTAGCACAAAGGCTGTGCTAAGAGCCATACTTACAGGTCATAGCAAGCAAAAGTATGTCCTTGTTCTTCTTACAAAGACTCTATGATGTCTAACCATGGAACATATAACCATGGAAAAAAAAGATGACTATTGCTCTCTGCCTCCTTTCCACATACAGTGGCGGAGCCACCTTTGTCCAAGGAGTGTCAATTGACACCCTTTCGCCTGAAACTTACAATGTGTAGCTAGGTAAAATCTTTTTTTTATGTATATGTACTATACGTTAAATCCTCTTGGCTTCTTCTTGAGTTGTCTTCTTTATATTTTGCACTCCCTTAGTGAAAATCCTAGGTTCCGCCACTGTCCATAGGTAACATCTAGAGCAAAGCTGCAAGCCCTCTCTTCAAATTCTCTTGAGTCAAATGAGCATCCTTGACAACTAGCCACACAACGTGATACATTAAATGGTATTTCAGCTTCTGAACAGATTTCCAATGCCAATTGTAAAACTGCTATCCTGTAATACTACATTTTGCTCATCCTATTTTAGTTACATGTGCTACATATTCATCTATCATGTCATTTCATGAAATTGTGAGCCCTGATATCTAAAATGTCTGTACTTAGGCACTGCAATCCGTCTAATCGCCTTAACTTCATTCTTCGTGTGTCCGCCAGTCGTATATGTATTGTATCTTACCTTTACTTATCCTCAACCCTTACTCTCTACTCTCTAGAACAATTCTGCACAGTTCAAGCTTTTAGTTGACTCCCTCGCTGGTTTCATCCATTTAACACAATATCTTTTGCAAATAATACACCATGAACTCTATCCTGTATTATATCTGTTAGCTCATCCAGAGCTACAGTAAGAATAAGGCTCAAGGCAAATAGCTAATGTGAACCCACGATTATGGGAAACTTCTTTATATCTCCTCTCAACAGTCCACAGATTTTGTGATGGCTCCTATGTACATACCTTAGGCGTTCTCCAAAACTGGAAACTCTCTACATCTCATGGTTATTCTCTCCATATGACCCAAAACTGCAAATTCCTTATATAGCCCATCTGTTACTCTATTTTAAGACCTTGAGAAAGATCATTTGCACCACATACAAGCAATTAATGAATTCTTCAACCAGTATGACTTTTACAAACCATTTCATATCACAAAAGAGAGAGAGAGAGAGAGAGAGAGAGAGAGAGAGAGAGAGAGAGTTGAAGGTGTGTACACCACCAAAAAAGAACTCAAGACAATGAAAAAGAGTTCATGAAAGTGTTTGGACATGAGGAACCATGCCTAGGAATAAACATAATAAAAGGTGAAAAAGATCTGCAAAGATCAACAGTTTTCGTCGTTTTTCGACAATCCAGTTTTGTCATCATATTTCCTTACAATTTAGATGATTGAGCCATGTTCAGGCTCTCAACCCATAAGCTCATTGAACATTATTCTATATGCACACAACTAACTGGATCGAAACGAGGGAAAAAACTACCAAGAAGTTTCACGTAAACACATTACCTGGAAATAAAGAATCAAAGTCTCTAGCAAAGGACAAAAAGTGGGTACCAGCTTGAGCCCGTCTTCACCTAAAGATCCGCCTAAACCAACAATAAATGACCTCAACATTTTGATTGCTGGCCGCAGGGCCTCAAATGAAAAGAATGAGAATCCCCAACCAAGTGAGATTTCATCCAAATTGCAGGACTTTCCAAGCTCATAATACAATACAGGGCAGTTATATGACAAAGCGGGAGAGTTCTCTAGGATATTATTTTCCTCTTGTAATAGATGCCTGCAGCCTCTGGCAATCAAGCACTTTAGATGAGGACTTCTCTGGACAACATGACCCACTGCATGGCAAGAAACCTGAAATTCCAAAGTCCATAATTTATTGGTTATACAGACATGCCGTATTGTGCTGATCTTAGTCTGAATTCAAGGCAGAAATTTTCGATTTCATGATAGACACAAATCATCTGTCTATAAGCATAATTCTACCTCAAAGGCTCCATCTATAGAGTCCAAAGCCCCCCAAATATTGCTCCCTTCTAACTAGTCTGGGATATTACAAGTCAGTAAAAGCAAGTGAAGGCCTTGGCGTCTTTGGCAGTAGTCCATGTTGTGGATAGGGAGCTTAAATGGAGATGTAGAGAGTTTAGAGACAAAAAGCACCTAAATGCTTGCTGATTATATATTTTCTTCAAAATGCATGGATCTGAATTTCCAGAAACCTTTAAAAGATTGGTGAAGTTCGAATAAGTCCATGATCTCTAGCTTCTACTTCATTTACAACAGATTAACTTGGGCTTATAAAAGTAAGCTAGAAATATAAATGTCCTGAAATACATGATTGTACAGATTTGTGTGGGAACAACTCTTATAAGAGCTTAAACTGTTAAAGTGGGAAAGTTTTTTCCACTTGATTATGTCTTTGATAGCTCTGTCATGTACTGTCGCCTGTCAGATTCTCTTATACGGGCCAAATACACAGAAATATTATTATCACTATGGCAGGTCGTGAGATTCAACCAAAGACCTCCACCCTAAACACCTGAGTCCTGACCCTAAAAGCTTCAAGCACAAAATTCAACAAGTATTTCCCATGGACTTGCAACAGCTTATTCCTTAGAGCACACTGATAACATAAAATCCACATCTTTTCCAGAATAACTTGGAGGAAGAAGACTTTAAGTTCATCTAGGACTAGTCACAAACCTTAGTATCAGATACATCAAGCATCTCGAGTGACGATCCTGAAAATTTGTAGAGCGAATTGTCGTCAAGCTGAGTTTCCCTCAAACAAAGACTTCTTACTCTCTGTGTTTGAGAGATAAGCTCCAAAAGATAAATCTCACTGATACCTGCAAATTGAGGAGAGTTTTTGAAAATTGAAGTCAAAGATATCGCAAACCACATGGAAGTTGGAAAAGAGGATATAATCATGTCCACAAATATAATTTCCAGCCTCCTTAGCAGTAACTGCTAACCGTATTTTCAAATCGGAAGTTCTACAATGCAACCTTTCGTTCTGTTAACAAATATTAACATGGAGGATACGAGGCCGAAAACAAAAGACAGAACATTCTCACCTTTGCAGCCTCCTATATGCAAAATTTGAAGTTTGTGAGCTAATGAATTTGTGTTCCTTTCAGTTTTCATTGCCACACCGTCAAATGTGGAGATATCGCGACAAAGTGACAGAACACAATTGTGACCAAACAAAGTATCACAAGCAAAGATTGAATGTAGGCCAACACGTCTCAATACTAAATCGGCTATTCCAGAATCCGTTATGGAAGTACACGCATTGAGGTTAATACAACACAAGGAAGGGCAGCACTCTGCAATATTGTGGAGATCCGAATCTGGAGAATATCAAAGAGAAGCAATGTTAGCTCAATGCAGAGAGCATCATATTATTAAGAGTATACATGAAAGCTGAATTTTCAATAAACATTTTCTAACAGCTTGAGAAGAGTACAGACGAGATTCCAAGACTACATACAGATGAGATCCCCAAACTATATGCATGAGAAAATGGAAGTGGTCTGACTTACAAAACCCAATATAAAAGCTAAAAAAACAGTATTCAACATTACATAGCTAGAGTTCTGGAAAAAGCAAAGGAACCACACAACATAAACCAATCCTTTGGGTACCACTGTACCAGCAGCAGTAGTTCTGTTTCATACTGTTCTTTTCTTTTAGTCTTTTGAGTCTGGTTGTTCAATGGTATAGATTGCATGATTTTGATGGCTGGAAACTTTGCCAATATAAGAGGATAATTCTTTTTACATTGGTCTTCCTCCCTTCCCCTTCAGGATATAAGCTAACTGAGACATCAAGTACTATTTTAAATAGCAAAAAGGAAAAAAAGACATAAAGTATTATTTTTGGGCATCCTCCCTAGCATTCGTTTCATAACCAAAAAATGTTTTAAGGCTCATGCCCTTTCACCAAGAATCAAGTAAAGCAGGAAAAATACTAGTCTCTTTGAAAAGTTTCATCTTAAGGGCCAGAAACTGACAAATGATTTCTCGGAAAGAGACTTTTCCTTTTCTCTGGTCATGGGAAGGTGTTTTAGCTAGGACTGCTGGACTACAAATATCATACCTTTAATATCTGTTCGACCCTCCAATATGAGTTTTGTAATATTCGAAAGCCGCCTAGAAAAATGAAATGCTGATACAGCAGGACATGTCTCTTCATTGAAAGATGTTGACATCTGCAGCTTTACAGCAGGGAATGAAGATATAACTGACACCTTTGCTGGTATCACAGGAGTACTCTCCACTGTTAGATTGATGTCTGAGAGTAGTGGGCATCTCTGTAATAATTGGTACAACTTCATTGTTCTGAAGTTCAAAGTATAAGCTGCTTTCAATGTTGTTAGGGATGGAAATGACTTGGAAAAGCACTCAATGGCAGCCTCAAGATGTAGCATAGGACAATTTGAAAAGTCCACCACTTCCACTGCTTCAAAAGTCAAAACAGGAAAAGTTTCCCACGGAATCCGAGATACATCCAAATTAGAGCGCTCAAGTTTGAGGGAAAGCTGATTAAGCTGCTTTGTCAGCATTGTGTCCACACTATAGGAAAAAGGAAGCATGGACAGGAGAAGAAGAGGCAAGCTAATTTGTGGGCAGCCGGAAAGGTCCAATATCTACAGAGGAGATTCAGAGAAAAAAAGAATTTCTTTTTAGAGTGGTAACAGTAAATTCAGAAAAGAAAAAAAAAAGAAACTAAGCAATGAAAAAGGTTGTAAGTGTTACTTACATTATATGAAATTTCACAACTACATTTGCAGTAAAGAGGAAAACTTCAAAAATACATCTTCACTTTGACACTGTAAGTATTATTTTATATCAAGCAAGTAAGCATATTCTTGATGATGTTTAATGTGTTAATCTTTTAGTTTCCAACAAGTGATTAAAAGGGAGAAAGTTACATTTAGAAATCATCCCCAAAGTTCTAGCAAGTTCAATTCTTGGAAAGTCTCCAAGAATAGATATGATGAAGTGAAAACTATAAGCAGAATCATTTCTTCGCATCATTTGAATTATTAGCATAATACCGTCCATCGAGTGAAGAAACAACAGCAAAAAAGTTAAGCTATCATAATTCAAAGAAACTCCACCTCTCAATATGTGTGGTCTAGATCAAGTTATTAATACTCCTTGATTTTCTTTTTCTTTTGTTTTCCTTTTGCTTCTAGATAATAACAACACTTTCAAAAAATATACTTAAAAAAATTCACGAGAAATGACTTTCATAATTAAGTGGTCAGACTTGCTACTTTAGTCCCAAGATTCAAGAATTCTAAATGGATAAAGAAGAAAACCATGAGTTGTTACACTGATTATATTGTTCTGGCATCTAAAATAGAAAATGAAAGCCAAAATCCACAAGAACTGAAAGGATGCTGTTAAATGTAAACCTTAGTATATTCAGTCAAGCGGATTCTGAGCTGACTAAAGTCACCTCCAAGAATGTTTGCTAAGCTAAAGGAAGAGGAGGTAGCTAAACTAAGAATAGTATCCACACTTCTTTCTGCAAACTTTGAGAAGAGGGGGCATCTCCGTTTCCCTAAAATGACAAAAAAAATTACAGAAATGATCAGATGATACCTAAATAACACTTGAGGGTTAGTGCTTTGAAAATAACAACATAAAGGGCTGCTCATACCCGCAGCAAATGGCAATGGCAAAAGGCTAGTGCGGATCTGTTCAAGAAGACAATGAATGTCACATAAATTACTCAGTGTAATCCAGAGAGGATTCAAATGCATACATAGCAGAGATATCTGTGCAAGAATCTGAGGCCTTCAGCTTGTAGCTTTTAGATGTTTAATTTTTCAAGCAGTGGTGGCAAAAATTTCCTTAACCGAAAAGGGATTCAGTTGCTTGGAGTTTCATTTCACATTAATACCTCACATATATAATATATCTGTTAATTATCAAACAGGACCAGTTTGTCAACTGAAAGACTAGGACAGAGATCAATGCACCTGTAATATTCTTACGTAAATCAGATATGCAAAGAAAACCAAACAACTGGGCACCACCTGCTCCATATTCTTCTCTACCAGAAAATTGAGCGTGAGGTTCAAAATCGGTTAAATAGGCATGTCATAGACTAAGATAAGAGTCACGCACATGAGATGTCATAAAATAACAAAAACAAAGATGAAAAAACACTATTATTTTGTTAAAAGAGAAAGAATATCCACTTCCCGAATCTTCTTGCCTGTTTAAAAAAAAATTCATGAATCTTCCTTTTTTTATTAAGGATATACACTTCCGGAATCTTATATTGCAAAAGTCCAAATCAGCAGTGATTACTAAGCTCACTAAGTAAGCTAGATTATTCTTACATGTTTCCTTACACACAGATTGTTAAACCTGATTGCTAATGCGGTCTCACTTTTAGCATGCAGCCGTGCATGACTAGTTCCAGTTTTCTTCAATTCTGAAAGAATACCCTGAAAATTGTCACACACACACACCCCACCACCACCCACCCCCAAAAAACTCTCTCGACACACACACAGACAAATTCATTTGAAAATATCATGTGATTGAACTCAATCCTTCCAGTATCTTATACCTCAGTTAAAATTTCAAGGTGAGCATCCCCAGTGGAGTTCAAAAGATCATATGGGATGGTGTTAGCGGCAAGCCATAGTAGAATAGCATCACAAAGATGTTTCTCGCTGTGAAAAGTCACCATGGAATCAGTATTGCAGATAAAATAAGACATTGCAACAGGCAACCCTTTATTTTAACAGATAAAGAGAGCACCAACCTATCTACTGTCAAACAAGGATGCTTTACACAGGAAAGCAACAATTCAAAAGGGACATTGTGAAAGGAGTCGCAGGAAGTCATCCATATCTGCAGGAAGAAAGAAAATTACATCTGGGACAGTTGATGGAAACTAGAAGGATCCTGTGATGTGACATCGCAACTTCAAATTCAAAATACTTAAAACTAATATGAAGGACAACATGTTTTCACTGGCTTATATTGGTAAATCACTGCCACAGCTCCTGGGCTTGTTTGGTAGCTAGAAATGTTCCTGCTTATATTTCAAAGTAATACAATTTTATGTTGTTTCGGCAGAACTGATTTTAAAAAAAAAAAAAAGACTGAAAAACTGAAGCAGATCTAATGGCATGAAAATTTCTTTAAAACAAATGCGGAGTGACTAACAAGATAACAGTGGGTTACAAGGTACGAGGGAGGCCACAGAAAGGTAGGGGTGAAAGTTGAAGCGCAAAGGTCAAGGTACTTGAGTGGGCTGGAGGTGGAATAGAACGGATGAGTAGGTAAACTGGCAGGTGGTAGAGTAGTAAGGGTTTGGAGAAAAGGATGGTCTTCGAAGCAAGTGTGCACATTTTGTCTATTTTTTTTTTCTAAAAAATGGTTCTTTTCCTAAAATATTTTGGAGATATATTTTTAACAAAAAGCAAAAATACATTCTCTCACCGGCTTACAATAGTTGTCAAAACAAGAACATGAACAGAACCTCTTCCGTTATCAAAGACCCCTCAGAAAGACAAATCTGTTGCAGTTACTATGCTGAAAAATTTTCCTTGTAACAACTGTCTCTAAATTCACATTTCATCTAACCTAACCAAATGTGAATGCATTAGCAGTGTTTCCAGATAACTTGTCAAAAAATGGGAACACCATTGACCTGATCATTACATCAAGTGAAGTTCGCAACTAAACAGCAAAAAGTTGCTACCAAATTTTTTGCAACTTGCCTTTATGGAAGTCGCCAATGGGAAAGAGAAGAAAGAAGCATGAAGGAAATGGAAAAGAAATAGTAATTGGATGGAGGAGAAGAAAAACGAGGCTGGAGAAGGAGCGAAATCAAGGAAGAGAAGGGATGGACGAAGAAACATTAAAGGATGTGCAGTACGGTTTAATCGTGCTGTGTGTACATACATTTGAATCAAACCAATCAATTCAAAAAAACATCCAATAACAGAACAATTTGGGGACTGGGACAAAGTACAATTTAAGCACTTACAAAGTTCCTCGCCAGACAATCAATCAATTGTGGAATAAAATCAGTTGCTGCATGATATCCCATGTTAATCTATAAGAGACAACCCATGGTATCACATTAAAAATGTAATATGATGAGCAATATGCTGCAATTATCATTTTTCCAGTTACCAAAAATAAAAGACATTGTACCATTCTCTCTACCATATTCCCAGATATGAACCAAATCTCCTAAATGCAATTGAGGAGGCCAAATCCTGCCTTCTGATGTTACATCATTCAGCCAACTTCGACAAACCAAAAGAAGCTTTTCCACTCCAAAAAATAATGCAGCCTGATGCAATAAGTGTGCAAGATCAGAGATTTAACAAGAAAAATGTCTACGATCAGATATTAGAAATTATTGAACAAACAACAAGAGATTGCATCTTATCACGTGTTAGAGAATTGCAGAGCAATTATCGAGTCCAAAGAGACCTAAAGTTGTGGTAAAACATCAAAAGAGAAAAAAATGAACATCTTTCCAACGTGACATCGAGCAGATTCAACTTTATATCCCTCCTTTCTACCCTCTCACTGAGGAGGAGAAAGGGAACAAAAATCAAGATTCGAATTATTAATTAGAAACTATTTTAGTGATAAGATGTCCTTAATTGACAAAATCTGAATAAAAAAGAATGGAACTTTAAATAAACATGTTTGTAACCTATGTTGCGGGGACTCCTCAAAATCCCTGCGGCATCCGTGCCGACACAACATGGGTGTGGGTATGGGATCCATACCGGATTTGGTTACCTTGGGTACTTTAACTACATTCTATGACCAAGAAGTAGAGATATATTGGGTATTTTGTTTGATAGCTAGCTCATGAGGTGAGGATCAGTGGCGGATGTACATTGTTACTTATGGGTGCTTGAGCACCCATTACTTTTAACCGGATTTAGTAAATATGCATAGGCAATTATAAATATAGTTAGATAAATATAGAGTGAGCACCCATAACTAAACTTTTTTTTCCTCTTCTTTCGGATTTTTATCGGCGAGCACCCATCACTTTAAAATTCTGGATCCGCCACTGGTGAGGATTGCCCAAGACCATACAAGGAGACCAAGACACCCATTACCCACCGATGTGGGACACAACTCAACACCCCCCTCATGCCCATGCCTGCAAACTGGAGCGTGGACAACATAAATGGGGGCCCAACATTAGTAATAATAAATTGGAATGGACCTGGCCCTGATACCATGATGAAAGGACCTTGGGCCCAACCCCAAAAGCTAGCTCAAAGGGTGAGGATTGCCAAAGCCATATAAACAACCCAAGAAACCCATCCATCTCCGATGTAGGATTCCATCAACCCCCTCAACCCCCCCCTC